AATGCTCAAGCCTGGCCCAGTGTCCCTCTCTTCCTGCTGCCTGTGGATCCAGATGTAGAACTCTCAGCTACTTCTCCAGCACCATGTCTGCCTGCATGCCACCATGCTTCTCACCATGATGACAGTGGACTAAACCTCTGAACCTGTAAGCCAGCCCCAATGAAATGTTTTCCTTTATGAGTTGCCATGGTCATGGTGTCTCATCACAGCAATAAAACCCTGACTAAGACACTAAAGACACCTTCGATACTGATTCAAGAGAAATTTATTTAGAAATATCCCATGTCCTGAAGCTTTGTTGAGTATGCAGTAAATAGGCATGCTCTCTGTACGCCTCAGTCAGTCATGCGCTAGGGAGCTCTCTAGGTATCCATATATAGCCATACACTAGGGGGCTCTAAGCGTCCACCATCCGGTGGGGCCAACATCACAGTGTGCTCTTGATGTGCCTTCAAGACATGTACAAGGACTCAGATTCACCCACAGCCTCTGGCTCCCACTTCAGACTCACCATGGTCTCCCTGGTGCCTAGAAAGTGCCACTCAGTGAAAAGGCAAAGAGGGATCCTCCTAGAGCAAGGCCACGCTCCTGCTCAGCTTTGCAGAGAACTCAGAGGTCACGAAGGTCAGAGGCTCTTCCTGCCCTGCCTTTCCTTCATTTAGTCTGTTCAGCTGTTCAGTGTTACAGCTGGGCACCACCCCCCAACACACACACACACACACACACACACACACACACACACACACACACACACACACACGGGCCCTCCTGTCCTTGCTTCTGCCCACACCTCTCATGGATATTTTCCTTAAAAGTCTCTACTACTTCTAATTCTGTCTTGGCCTGTTTCCTAGGGACCTACATTGACCCACTCTCTCTGGAGGAGATTGTAGAAATGGTAGCTGAAGCTAGATGTGGTATGCTGGCATATACCCATAACCCCAGTATTTGGGAAGCTGAGGCAGGTGGTTGCAAGTTCCAGGCTAGTTGGGGCTACATGAAAAGTTCTAGGCCAGTTAGTCCATACTGACATCCTGTCTCAAACAACAGAGAGAGGGGGAGGGGGGAGGGGGGAGGGGGAGAGACTACAGGGGGAAGGGTGTGGGGACAATGACTTTGGTGCTGGCAGCAGAAATATGTCCCCAACTGAGGCATGGCAGCAGGGTGAGCATAGCCTCTGGTGCCCCATGCAGAGAATATTTCTTCTCTGGTTGGTTACACAGCTTTGTTCTCGGCTGTTCTTGCAAATGTACCCCTAAGCCAATCACTGGTCAAGCCCGGTTCCAAACACAGTTTGCTTTACCTTGAAGACTCCATTCTTAACAGTTGCTCCACATTCCCCTGTTTCCAGAGTATGGTGATCCCATGTGTCCTCTCAGGTGGAAATCTGAGGACCGTGGGAGTGGGGAGACTGGATCCCACCTGGAGGGATCTCCCTGGTCGGCTTTCACGGCAGAAACACCTGGGGCAGCCTCACCTTCCAGAGGAGAGAGTCTGATGCATGCCGTGGCTGGTTCTCTTTCTCTAAAGACACATTTAAACTTACCTTTACTTACTTCTGTGATGTGGCGGTCAGGGGGCAACTTGCAGGAGTTTGTGCTCTCCTCCATCATGTGGGTTCTGGGGATGGAACTCGGTTTGTCAGGCTTATTGGCCAGCATCCTTATCCACTGAGTCATCACGCCAACCTTGACCTTTCTTTTGCCTAAAGGGACGTAAGATAAAGGACTCAATGACATTTTTTGTGTGTGTGTGTGTGTGTGTGTGTGTGTGTGTATGTGTGTGTGTGCATGCAGAGTCAGAGGTCAGTGTTGGGTGTAATCCTCAGTTATTTTCCACATTTGTTTTGTTTTGTTTTTCAAGACCCGGTTTCTCTGTGTAGTCCTGGTTGTCCTGGAACTCACTCTGTAGACCACACTGACTCCAAACTCACAGAGATCCACCTGCCTCTGCCTCTGAGTGTTGGGATTAAAGGCATGCGCCAACACTGCCTGGCTACTCCACATTAGTTTTTGAGACAGTCCTTCACTGAGTCCTTGAGTTCACTGATGTGGCTGGAATGGGTAGCCATTGGACCTCTGGGATCCCCCTGTCTCTGTAACCTCTTCTTGGTACTGGAATTATAGACACATGCATCTGCTCTCAGCTTTTATGAGGGCACTAGGGATCCGAACTCAGGTTCGCATGCCTGCATGGCAAGCCCTTTACTGATCATGCCGTCTCCTTAGCACCGTCTTTTAACCTTTAGGTCTTCGACCTCAGAGGAGAACCAGCTGTGGTTGTGTCAAGGAAGGCTGTCCTGGTGTGAAATGAGTGAGCACCGTCTTTCCAATGGCTTCACGTGTCCTGCTGTCCATACACCCACGATCAGAGCCCTGCAGAGGCTTGCTTTCTGCCTGTGCTGGCTCAAGGATCTGTGCATCCTGTCCCTTGGGGCTCAGCCACTCCCTAGGACCATCTCTTATCCAGAATAGGAATGAGGAGGAGAAACGCAAAGCTTTGTAATCTCCTCCGTACACTGTTACCTCTGTAGCGGGTACACTCTGATCCCTCCCCACTGTGAGAAGTAGTCTCATAAGACCCCAGGGAGATGCCAGGTGAAGCAGTTACTTCTGGGTGCTGTGAGAAAATACCTAACAAAAGCAACCGAAGGAAGGAAGGAAGAAAGGTAGGAAAGAAGGAAGGAAGGTAGGAAGGAAGGGAGAAAGGAAGGAAGGCAGGCAGGCAGGAAGGGTGGGTGGGTTGATTTGGGCTCACAATTTAAGGGTGTAGCTGTGGGGCATTTACCCACCACCCCCACAGTTCCCCAGAGTTTTCTTGAGTGCGAGCAGCAGGAAATATTAGAAAGATTGATTGCAGAGAATCTTGCGGAGATAAACAGATAGAAAATAAAAGATAACCTCGAGAGGGCCTGGAACCTATTCCAACGGGGCCTGTCTGCCCCAGGGTTTTTATAGAGATGCCAAGGGGTGGAGCAAAAGACCTCCTCCCCCAGCACAGCCAAGTGCAGACCATCTCAGACACCTGCACTCAGGCCCGTGGTCCTAACCATCCTCTATGAGGACCTGCTGGGTAAAGCCACGAGGAACCCGAGAAATGGGCTCCCACATGTAGCTCATCATGGCGGGGAGGTATGGCTACAGGAATACTAGGCAGCATTACATCTACAATCACAGAGGAGAGAGACGAAAGTTGTCGAGTTTCTTCTTGTTCAGTCTGGGTTCCCCTCCCATGAGATGGTGCTGCCCACAGTTAGGGTGAGTCTCCCCGCCTCAACCCATAGAAAACTTCCTCACAACATGTCCCGAGATGTGTCTCTGGGGTGAATCTAGATATATCAGGCAGACAGTCAATATTAACCTGGACATCTAAGCAGGGTGGTCCCCAGTCTGCAGCTCCTTTCTAGTAACAACTGCGTTTGATGTACAGCGGAGGACAAGCATGATGTTTGGTTGCTAGGTAACCTTGTCTGCCATGGGAAGCTCCCACAGTCTTCCCATCCCAGGAAGGACACTGACCTGTCTTCACTGAAGGAGCCATAGAAAGCACACCCCACGTTCCACAGTCACAGACTAAAGCAAATGGCTTTTAATCACAATTGGTGATAGCATTATGTCTCAACTGAAACTGAGGCAGGAGCCATCTTTTTTGAGAAGTTCTCATTAAAGAGAACACCAGTCCAAACCTGTGGCTTCTACATCCAGCCTTTCTGCTTCAGCAATGATTTCTTTTTATCAGATGAATCAACAATGCCCCTTTCTTTCCTTGTCTTAACAAAATCAACAGGATGTTAACACGCTCTTCTACCGTTCTCTCCAAATCACCTCTGAGTACCAGAACTTTTGCACGCTCATTGATTTCATTCATTCTGTGCCTCTGAGCTTCCTTAGCTGTGCCTGCCCCCGTCCCCCCATTTCAAGTCTCCTCCTCTTCTTCCACAGCATGTTGAGGAGGGCTAATTTCATTTGCTGGTGGAGGTGGGAGACATGTGAATTTTGATTTGTGTGATCTGCACGGCAACAAAAGAGTGTTAGTGTTTGCTAGTTAGGATGTTTGTTTCCTGTGTCACCATAAATAAAAGCGTGTAAATAGACTTCAAAGTGTGTGAGTGTGGGGGGGCGGTAATTGAGTAAATTATATGTTACTATGCCACGGACTTACTACACACATTAAAACTCATATGGAAAAGGATCATCGATCGCCATGGGAAAAGTCTCTCAATATACTGGGCAAACAACGTTTAAAACACCCTCAAGCCAAAACAAGGCGAGCAATCAAAGCTAAAGATTAAATGACTGCCAGTCAGCCGGGAACTGGAACAAAAGGAACTTCTGCCAGTGCTTGTAAGAAAGAGCTGCAGTCCATTCCTTCCTTTTTTCAAAATGTGCTCTGGCTCTTTGGGTGGACGCTGCCTGAGTTAGTCAGCTTTCTTCTGTTACTGAAACAAAATCCTGGAGACAATCCACTTACAGAGAGAAAAGGTCTGTGTGAGCTCACTGTTTCAGACTCCATTGCCTTCAGGCCTGTGGGGAGACACCCGGAATGCAAGGTGGCCAAAGAGAAAGAGAGCCAAAGGCAGATGCTGGGGTCTCAACACCTACTTTAAAGGTCTCTCCATGACTACAAGACCTCTCACTGGGCTGTACCTCTTAGAGGACACATCTGAAGCCACAGGACTGCCCCACCCGGGAAGGCTGGAGCGCGGGGTTTGCTTGCTTGCTTCTCTTTTTCCTCTCTTTCTCCTTCTGCCTCTCCCACCCCTATCCTCACCAGTGGTGGAGACAGAACCCAGGGCTTAATGCGTTCTAGATCAATGCTGTGTGCTGGCTGTGTACTGTGTACTGCACTCCCCAGCCCCTGGGTTTGCCAACTGGGAGCGAAAACCATGTGGTGCCTCCAAGGTCTCAGTGTGTACTCGGGAGGAGGCTGCCTTCTCATTGGGCCCCAGCTTCACGGTGATGATGATTGCTGCATCGGACCTGAGGTGCATGGGCTACCAGGGAGATGTGGATGTAAGTCATTGCAAACCAGGAAGTGCTCTTCTCCTGTGTGGGTGCTTTTACACACAGGACGAGCCTGGACTGCCATGACGGTGGTGGTGGTTGGTTGGGGAGTGGGCGGCTCTTCTCACACACCTCCTTAAAGAGGAACATTGCTGATTCTCACCAGGAGACCAAACCTTTATCGCGGCACGCAGTGTTCGCTCACACCAGAGATCCTGTTTTCTGATAAGAAGAAAAATAGTCTCAGTGTGTTCGGACTGAACGTCATGTGGTCATGCTCTACGAGCTGGGGGACGCGGAAGCAGCTGGCATGGCTGGGCGGGACTTTGCGCGTTCCCAGGTAATGCCAGAATGCAAAAGACAGCTTCAGGGTGAAAAGGAGAGTGCACCGCCAGGTGAGCTGGTGTTGAATGTAAGCCAAAGCAGTTATAGATCTGAAAATCAAGGGCGCAGCAGCCGTGGCAAACTGACATCACCGTGTGCACGCGGTGCAGGCTGGGCTGAACATGGCCGCTATCAGCAGCGGAGTAACTTATATCCTGTGTCTTGGGTGTAAGCCTTGTATAATCTCTGCGGTTAAATAGCAATAAGACGAGGTGGAGAGCCAGGTAATTAAAAGTCCATACGAGCCCTCTATTTTAACGTATGATGCCCAGCAAGGAAATGAGAAGCAGCTTCATAATTAACCTTCTGTGGACCCGGTCCCTCAACCACCCATTAAAGGGACGTGGGAAAGCCTCAGGAGCCACTAGGAACTTTCCCACCGCGTGCCATGAAGGGACAGACTGGGGAATCAGAAAGAGTGGGGCACCGTTTTTCTCACTGGAGATGGGTGGGGGCTGACGATGAAACACCTCTCCGTCTGCTGTTGCTGAATCTGCAGTTGGAAGAATGCCAGCGACAGAGAAGCCTCAAGAAGGTGATTAAAATAGCGCAGGATAAGGATGCTATTGAAAAGCTTGCCGGACTTGTCCCGAAGACCTCCCCTGCACTAGGCCAGACATCATGGCGGCTTAACAAATGACCCTTCCCGGTATCCTGAGCCCTGTGAACACCACAGGGCCTGCACTGCAGGCTTTAGCCTGTTATCTATTCAAACCTCAAAATAACTCTTGGATAGAGTCGACTTTTGTAGCAGAGATTGACAGCTGCTCGCCAAGATTTCTCTTTCCGGGCTCACAGACAGACAGACTGCCTTTTCCAGACATGCTTGTGGCGAGCTGCAGTCGAAGTGTTAAAGAGAAGGAAATAAAACAGAAGGGCAACCACAGCGACAGCAACAGAGAACGAGAAAAGAAACAAACTTGATCGTGCTCTAGCAAAGCGCAGACAGACAGACCAGCGTTCAGTTAGATCTCTGTGTGTGGAGTTTTGTTTTGTTTTGTTTCACGTGAAAACTGATCTTCATTGTCAACCCAGCTGGATAATTAGAGCCACCCAGGAAGCACACCTCAAGGTGTGTCTCTGAGGGTGTTTCCGAGGCTTAGCTGTTTAGGGGAGACCTGCCCTGTGGGTGGTGCCATCCCTTGGGCTTGAGTCTTGAAGTGAATAACAAGGAGAAAGGAAGCAGAGAACCGGTCCGTTGCTTCTGTCTGCTTCCTGACTGTGGATGCCACGTAAGTGCATGTATAACGCTGTAGCCAAGCCTTCCCCGCCATCATGGGTAGGCGCTGTAGCCATGCCTTTCCCATCATCATGGGTAGGTGCTGTCGCCATGCCTTTCCCATCATCATGGGTAGGCGCTGTAGCCAAGCCTTCCCCAGCTTCATGGATTGCACCCTCAACTTCAAATCATGAGCCCCAGTAAACCCTTCCTTCCTTTCTTCAGTTGCTTTTGCCTAGTCTTTGTCAGAGTAGTGAGAAGCGTAATGAACACAGAGAGGAAACAGGGAGCCACCGAGGCGGGACAGTGCAGGGTTTGATGCCTTTGATCGATGAAGTTCTTCATTTGCTGCGAATGCCTGGCTTCCAAAGACTGCAGCCCCATCCCCAAAACACCTCAAAGCCCCTTTTGGAGAGGTGATTCTCACCCCATGGGATTCACAGGCTTAGTTTAACATGCACAGGGAAGTGCTGTCAGCAAGCTAATTTTAGAACATTTTCCAGCTACGTTATGAGAAACTGGAACCACTAACCCATTTCCTTCTCCACCTATCTCAATAGCCCTGAGCGACTTCCAAGCTACTCTTAGTCACCCTCAATTTGCCTATTCAGAATATTTCTCATAGATGGGATTGCACATTTTTAATGACTGGGTCCTTTCTCTTAACACAGTTTCAAGATTCAAGCATGCCATTGTATAGAGCAATACCTTTTCATTGTTAAGTAGTGTTCTATTGTATGGACGGACTACTATAATCGGTGGTTGTGCATTTGGATTGCTGTCATGAGCAACGCTTCTGTGGACATCTGTGCATGGGTTTTGTACACTGCCATTTCTCTCCTGTACTTATATCTTGGAGTGAAGTGGTTGGGTCATAGAGTACCTCTGTATTTAATTGAGGAACCAATAGAGCGTTTCCCTCAGCAGCTGTACCGTTTTCCATTTCCTCCAGCAAAGTGTAAGGGCTCCATGGCCTCCACATACGATACTATCTTTTTATTTTTTTGAATCAGAATCCCACAGTGAGTGTGAAGTGGATTTTCCCCCATGTAATTGTCTTCCACATTTGTGCTCACTGGACTCCTGTGTATCCCTTTTATTGGAGAACGTTCTTTCATTCCCTTTGTTCAGCTTGAACATTTGTTGTTGGTGGTTTTTAACTCTCGAGTTCTTAAGGCCTCGTGTTTCTCAGTTTGGCTTTGAACTCACGATGTAGCTGAGGATGGCCCTGAACGCCTTACCTTCCTGCCTCTACCCCCCAAGTGCCAGGATTACATGTGCCTGTTAATACTTTTAAAATACAGGCAGGATACCAGGTGTCTGATCGTTTTCAGTTGAGGCAAAATCAGTATACCGTTAAATTGATCTTGTCAGAGGTGAAGTCACATGGCTTTGTGTATTTGTTCTGTATCCACCACCACAGTCTAACTCCAAAACATTTTCATCACCCCCCTAAAAGAAAAGCCTTCTCTATTAAGCAGTTACTTCCCAGTCTCCCCCTTTCATAGATCTCAGTTACCACCACGGTGCTTTCTGCCCTTTTGGGGTTCCCTGCTCTAGATAGTTCGTATAAGTGAGCCCAGGCAATCACATGTGCCCTATGGTGTGTGGCTTCCTACCTTAGGTAGTGTGGTACTTTCCAGACTCATCCTTGTTGGAGCATGTACCAGTGTCTCATTTCTTTTTACGGTTTACTGACACCCCCCTGCCTAGCATTACTGAAGAGGACCTTGAGCCCACCCCTGGGCAGAGTTGCAGGGGAGAGAACTCAGCCTTTGCTTGCCATGTGCTGGCCATTTCCCATGCTGTAACAGAGGCACGGCTCATTCGGAATCGCTGCCCTGGGAGCGATGTACACGTTTACAGACTGCCAAAATTACACCCTTGAGGAAAACTTGACCTAGTCCATCGCCTGTTTTCTAAGGGACACCATCTTTATGCAGGATTCTAAGAAGTCAGCATGGAAGGACGGAAAGAGATCATCCAACTCCCTGTTTGTTTCCTAGCTGACAAAGCCATCAAAATCAACAGCTTTTCTAAAATGGCATCATATTTTCACTAAACTGCCCAAGGACTTCTGACTAGAGGTGGAAGCCACATGCTCATGGTATGAGTCTATCTATGCAAAATATCCAGAGTAAGACAACCCACAGACAGCTTTCAGTGAGACAGAAGGGGGATGCAGGGAAACATCTCTGCAAGTAGAGACGGAACTAGACAACTGGAACGCGCAGAGCTTAGAGACATTTTCTCCCTTCTTGGTTATCCACCCCCCCTCCCCCCGGCCCCCAGGTGTGTCTGTGTGTGTACTTGCTGGGGTTTGAACTCAGGACCTGGGGTGTGTCAAGGACAAGCTTTATCATTAAGCTACACTCAGTTCTCTTTTTACTTTCTTCGAAGATATTATATCTGTTATGTGTGCATGTGTGTGTGTGTGTGTGTGTGTGTGTGTGTGTGTGTATGTGAAAGAGAGAGAGAGAGACAGAGAGAGAGAGAGAGAGACAGAGAGAGAGGACTTATGCCACAGCATGAGTGTGGAGGTCAGAGAACAACTTGTAAGAGTCAGTTTTCTCCTTCTATGATGTGGGCCCCAAAGATGGCCTCAGGTGGTCAAGCTGACTGGCAAGAACCTTTGTCCACAGAGCTCTCTTACTGGTCCTCTTTTCAATCCTTTGAAGCAAAAATATTTCTATTTTTTTGTTGGTTATTTTTATTTATTTTTGAGATAAAGGTTTGCTTTGTTGCAAAGGTCAGCCTGGACCTCCTGGGCTGATGATCTCCCCTTCAGCCTCCCTAGCTACCTCTCCACCACAGGTGCGCACTGCTGTACCTGGCTAAAAGCTTTTACCCACAGAGGACATCCGATTCATGTATCATTTCTCTCTTGTCTCTTGTACCTCTGACGCTGAACTGAGAATCTGTTGCCTGAAAGTGAAAAACTAGGAGAATTTGCTTTCTTTTTGTTTCTCTAAAAGGATTCACAGTTTGATCTACTTTTTGATCTTTGTATGAGGTGTGTTTTTGTTGCTGTGACCATGGAAAGTGAAACTTAGAAGGAAGTGTTTAGTATTTGGGCTTATAGTTCCAGAGTGAGAGTTCATCAAGGAGGAGGAGGCATGGCAGGGAAGCCAGAACAGAAAACCCAGAGATCATGTCTTCAACAGAAAACTTCAAACAGAGAGAGCAATCTGGAACTGGGGAGAGACTATGAGCGCTCAGAGCCCACCCACAGTGACATATTTCCTTCAGTAAGACTGTACCATCTCCCAAACAGCGCCACCAACGGGTAACCAAGTATTCAAATACCTGTGCCTGTGGGGGGCATTCTTATCCAAACAACTACAGTCTTTGAGCCTGTATAAGTTGGCTTTTGTATATGGTGTGAAGTAGGGGTTCAGCTTTATCCACGTGGTAGTTAACTGTCCTGGGTCATTTGCTGGAAAAACTTTTCTTTGTCTCCTGTAACTGTCTTGTCAAGGTTATGAAAAATCATGGTGCCAGAGGAGAGGTTTCTGGAGGGGCTATTTATTCCGTGAATTTATCCAGCTATCTCTGTGTGTTCATAAGCGAGTAGTAGCCCCTAGTCCAAGGTTGCTGTGGACTTGTAACAATGGCCATTTGGAGCTATTTCTCTTTTAAATTTTAGGCACCCCATCATAGTTCACCTGCTCCATTATTTGGAACTTCCGTTTTTTTCCAGAATGCAATTGACAGTTCCTAAGTTGTGTTTACTACCAAAGCGAGAGATAGATAGATAGATAGATAGATAGATAGATAGAGAGAGAGAGAGAGAGAGAGAGAGAGAGAGAGAGAGAGAGAGAGAGAGAGAGAGAGAGAGTTGGGTCAGATGGCTGGCATGGAGTCACTTTGGTCTAAAGAAGGTGGAGGTTCGCACTGCTCGCTGCTTGGGAGTGGGTTTCCGACTCTCTTCTCAGACTCGAGCTGCAGCATCTGGGAGCCTAATATTAGCTTACCAACAAAGCGGAGGATGAACTTGAACCCGTGATTCTCTGGATTTCATCTCCTAAATGCTGGGATTCAGGTCTAAACCACCACACCCTGTCTATAAAGCACAGAGAATAGCCCAAGGTTTGGTGCATGCGAGGCAACTCCCCTACCAAGGGCTCTGCGTCCCCAGCCCCAGGTGGGCTCATACGAAACGATGGCATCACTGATCTGTGTTGTTCCCTTCCTCCGGGGTCCCGTCCCCCCCCCCCCCCCCGCCCCCGCAACTGCTCCAGCTTCCAGACATTCTCTCGTGGGATGGAGGTGGGATGGGGACCAGCGGATTTGGTTTGGGATGCATGGCGGGTTTGGAGCGCGCAGGTTGCACGGGGGTGGGGGGTGGGGGGTGGGGGTGGGGGGGTGGGGTGGGGGTGGCGCGTCCCCAGCAGCGCTGGAAACTCAGGTGGCGTCGGGCGGGGCGGCGCCCAGGTGTGCCAGGCAGGAGGCGGTGCACCCTGCCTGGGCTCCTGCGCCGTCTCAGACCCGGGAGCCACCCGGGGACATAGAGCGGGCAGGCCGGGCGGACCCCGCAGGGAGCGCGGAGCGCGCCGAGGGACGGTCCTTGAGGCTTGCCGGGTGGCTGCAGCGATGCCAGACCTGTGGAGAGCAATCGTCCTGGAGACCTTTCTGGGTAAGTCGAGGCCGTCCTGGCGCACGCTGACTGGGCTCATTCCCCGCCGGGGCGGCAGAGCCGGCAGAAGAGGTCCGGCGCTGGGAACCGAGATGCTTATCGAGCCCTAGACAGAAGGGAGGGAGGGAGAGCAGATTCGGATGGAGGGGTCCCAGGCCGGGGTTCAGCAGCTCCCACGCCGCCCTGGCGTTGCGTGGAGCGTTCTCTGCGTTGATCTCGTGCAGCCCCGGACCGTGACCTTTATTCAGTTTACCTCAATACAGTTTACTACTGGACTTAGCTTTCCCAAGGAAAGGGCACCTGTCTTCCCCCGGGGCTGTAGGCGAGCATCCGGGGTAACTTCTGTCTTTGGCCTTGCCCCCTGCTCAAGTGGTCTTGGTAGCTGCGAGTATACTAGCGTGTTGGTAAAAGAAATAAAAAAACATCTGTGTCTAGTCTCCTGGGCTCCTTTAGCAGTTTTGCACGAAGTACTGAGGATTTAGTGTTCTGGCTCCGAGGGAGATGTATTCTTAAACTCCTGAGTTCTCGGGGAAACTTTTGGGAAATAGCTAGGTCTTGCAGTTCATTTTGCAGCAAGCCAGCTTCTGTCCTGTGGAAGGCGCGCTCCCGAGAGCGAGAGTTTCTGAGAACAACTTGTTCTCCGGAGAGACTGAAACTCATTTTTCTGCCTCCCTCTGTGCCTTGTAAATTGGGAGGTGTGAAGTGACTCACACTGAGTTCCTCTGGGAGACTTGATCTTAACTCTGAGAACTGTGAGGTGGTGTGATTTCTGCAGATTAACGACGTGAGGCTGAGAAGGGACGGGGAGAAAGTTAAGTGCGCTGGCTAGCAGCATCCTCGGAGGCAGGCTGCTGGGAATTTAGCTCCCGGTGTCATTTACTACTCGGGCATGCCAGACAATCACTAAACTTTCCTCGGGAGTTTCTGTTGTTTTGTTGTGCCACAATGGTTTAGGCTTCAGTAAGAGAGAGTATAAGGTGTATACAACCGTCCACAGGACATGGGTTGTATGAGGAACAAGACATCTGGTTAAAATCCAGCTCAAGACCACACACGCCTTTAATTCCAGCACTCGGGAGGCAGAGGCAGGAGCTCTGTGATTTTGAGGCCAGCCTGGTCTACAAAGCCAGTTCCAAGACAGCTAGGGCTGTTACACAGAGAAACCCTGTCCCGAAAAACCAACCAACCAAACAACTTGGTACACGGCAAGTGCCACAGCCTTAATTATCATTATTGCCTAAGATAATCACACAGCCTATGCCCACAGAAGTGCCTCTGCCTTCAGATCTGTTCCACTCTCCAGCCCTGCCCAATAAAGGCTGGTTTAGGATGGTGTACTCACAAGAAAAGGTCTGTTGCCTAAAGATGGGGCTTTAGGGGTGTAGGTTGGGGTAGGTGGAGGGAATGTTACTTCTTTAGCTTTATGCTATTTCTCATTACATATGTATGGGCCAAATTAGGTGAGAGGATTTTATTAGAGTCGTGACGGGAAGCCAGTTTCAGCTCAGATGGTCCAGCCTTTGACATCTTACTTGGGATTATCTGCAGGTATAGACATGGTTGCATGACTACGTGATTATAGGAGCAAACAGAGATGATGGCAGACTCACAACAGGCACTCTCCACCCTGCCTGCTGGGTAGGGGAAGGAGTCTGCTACCAACACCCAGCTGAAGCCAGAGATAGGAAATCCAGAGCAAATTGGGGTGGCAGGTCGCCAGCAGGAATGATGCCAAGTCACATTCTCTCTTAAATGTCTTTCCTAGGCTACGTCTCTTGGTCTCTCTACCATGGCCTGGGACCCATGATCTATTACTTCCCCCTGCAAACGCTGGAGCTCACGGGGCTGGAGTTGTTTGGCGTGGCCTTTCTCTCCCCGATACTCTTAATAATTCCTCCATTCTGGAAACTCGTTAATCAGAAGTGGATGCTCTCTCTGCTGAGGATCGTCACTGTCGGTAAGATCTGAGGGTCTGCTTCTGTCAGTCAAAAGCAAAATGGTGTAGACTGTTCATTGTGTGGGGAACGGTTAACTTTCAAAAACCGTCAGTTTCTTTTTCTTACTATCTATCCCCTCAGGAAAAAAATGTAGTGAAATTGGAAAACTATACAGTGTCAATCCTTTTTATTTTTCTCTCCTTAACATCTCTGCCCAACTGGAAAAATCTAAAATTCGCTGGAATAAGGAGTGGAAAGGTGCCCTGGAGGACAGGACAACCGTGATAAGACTTAGAAATGATGAGAAAGGCGGCCCAGTAGTACTGCACAAGAAATGAGAACAATGTATCTGAAACAGTCCCAGCAGGTGGCCAAACAGTGGGTGAAAACTATTTGAAATGCTGCTCCTCAAAGGGCTGATTCCCACACAGTTTCAATGAACCAAAAATAAAAGACCAAAGAATGAACTAGAAAGCCAGCAGATGTCTGCAGTCCCTGGAAAGGAAGTATAATCAGTTCTTTAAAATACAGTAAAATTGGGCCATCAAAATGATTCAGTAGGTAAGGGCATTTGCTGTCAAGTCTTATGACCTAAATTCTATCCCTGTGTCCCACACGGTGGGAAGAAGTTGGCCTTTCACCTCTACGCATAGCACTCACTGGCGTGAGCAGGCATATGCTCACACACTCATACACATAATAAACATAATAAAAATGTAAAAATAACGAACCTCACATAGCACAAATGATGCATAGGTATTTATGGCTTCCCAAGTGGACTGGCAGAGAAAAAATATAACATTGTATTGTAAGGATGGGACAGCAGGTGCTCATGCATGGCTGGCGGGTATATCTAGCAGCACACACTTTAAGGAGATCGGTTTAGCAGCACAGAGCCTTTGCACCAGCAGCTCCACATCTAGGTCTGTGTCCTGTAGATACATCCACATATACATGATATGTTGAACATATGAATTATTACAGGGATAGTTATACAGCTAGTACAGAAATGACCCAAATGTCATCTCTAAGGGATTGATAAAATAATCAATGATTGTGAAACCTGGACTATTACACAGCTACAGAAAGGGAGTATTATTAATCGATTTAAAAAGGAAAAATATGAGCTCAAATCTGCTTGGAGCTGTAGCTGAAAGTCCAGACCTCTTACTCTGCTATTGCAGCCGGCTGGACTTTCCTTACAGCATTGGTTGGTGAGCTACACTGGGCAGATCTGTCTGGAAGTTGACATGTCACATTTTCAGGAGCGGTGTTTGGAGTCCTTAGGAGAGCAGACCAGCCCTTAGCTCTCCCTGTCTTTGAAGGAGGCAGAACACAGTGCAGCGAGTTCGGAGTCTCCCCATCGAGGTGTCGAGCTCGTATTCTTAGAGCTAGGGTTCAGAAGCGGTAGTGGGGAAGGCTCCTGGACACCTTTCTTTACAAGGATGGTGTCCATCAGAAACGGTCAGCTGTGGGGGACGGAAAGGAAGCTGCCGCCTGGGTACTGTCTGCAGTGACTGCTGGACTGGAATTGCGGCTGGCTTTCGTTTTCTGTATATGAGTCACGTGACCTTAGCCTCGCAAGACTTGGTTTCTCATCACATTCCAAGTCGGCTTCTACAGCAGGATTTTCTCTGTGACACTATGTGACACAGGATTTTCTCTGTGTGTTATGCACGGGACAGTAAGTGTGGGTACAGTCTTTGTGTCCCCTTGTTGCCCTGTCAAAATACCTGACAAGGTGGCCTAAGGGAAGGGAGGTTCGTTTCGGCTCACAGTGTGGGGACACAATCCACCAGGACAAGGAAGGTGAGACACCTGGTCCGGGAAGGTGAGTCTTTCCGACAATTAATCCACCCTAGAAACCCCCTCACAGCCGTGCCTTGGAGTTCTTTTCCTAGGTGATGGTGGATCCTGTGACACTGACTACCAGGATTACCCATCACAACAGCTAGTTATGACCCTCCTGGTGTCACGTCTGCTAACCACCTTCCTTCATGAAACCCAGATCCCTGAGCGGAAGAACTGTAGAAACGGGTAGACAGGAAGTCACTCAGAGTTGAGGAGGAAGAGGCCGCCTCAGCCGAGTGCTGCTGCCCCTGGTGACTGCTGGGCACAGCTGATGCTCTGCAGAGGTTGCCCTGGGCCACAATTTGCTTTGAACCCCCCGACTGTTACATGCAAGCTCACCTCTGGCACCTCCGGTGTTTAAATCAATCACCAGGCAATTAACTATGAAACTAATTTGCACTCTGCATCGTCCAGACAGCTAAAATAAAAAAAAAGACAGACAATACCAAATGCTGGCAAAAAATATAGAGCCATCGAATTTTCCTTTGCTGTTGATGGAAATGCAAGAAATGTAAAGTGGCATAGACGTTCTGGGAAACTGTTTGGCAGGGCCTTCTCGGATATTAAGCGGAGCTCCACACCTTGTCATATACTCTAGAAAAATGCAAGCATATGTTCACATAGCAACTTGGGTACACGTGTTCATAGCCATGTTATTCACAAAAATCCAGACATAGAAGCAACCAAGTGCCTATCACCTGACCAATGGATAAGCAAAATAGAGTTTATTTATGCAGTGGAATATTATTTAGCTATGAAAGAGTGAAGGGCTAACCTAGGCTACAATATAGATATACTTGGAAAGCAGTAGGCTGAGAGAAAGAAGCCAATCACGAAGGGCCACATACTGTAAGATTCTACTGATGTGAAATTCCCCAGATAGGAAAAAAAAAATCCATGGAGACCAGTTTGTGATTGCTAGGGGTGTGGGGCAGGATAGGAGGGATGCTAATGAGAAGGGGAATCCTTTTGGGGGTAGAGAGAATGTTCTGGAATTAGTGGGGATAGTTGACAACTTTGTGAATGTGCCAAAAAAACTATGAAGGTGTATACTCTAACATGATGAGCCTTATGTGAGAATCCTACCTGAATGAACACAAATTAAGTAGGTGTATGGGCATCTGTTGATTCTGTCCTCTTTAAGGTAAAGACCGTACCCGACACAATGCTTATCAACTGCTGATGGTCAGGTGCCAGGGCATGCTTGCCAGCTCCTTTCTCCTTTCTCTGTCTGTAGGCAGCATAGCCTCCTTTGAGGCTCCGAATGCCAAGCTTCGGTTGGTGGTCCTGGCACTTGGAGTATCTTCTTCACTGATAGTGCAGACTGTGAGCTGGTGGTCAGGAAGTGGATTGCAGAGGTATGACTCACGTCTTCGGTACCTATAGACAAACAGGTATGACCAGTTCCCAGGGGGAAGTTCTGACCATGAGTTTCAGTGCAGTTTTCCCTATCACAGGACCTTGTGAAAGTCCCCTTCCCTTCACAAAAAGTGAAGGTGCAAATACTTGGCATCAATCTTATTTTGTTTTCTTGGTACTAGGGCCTGAACCCAGGCATTGAGTGTATTTGGTATTCTCCCTGCTATTTTGCTATATTTCCAGTCCCAATAAAGTTTAAACATTTTAACAATTAGATTTATTTATTTTCTAAATTTTTATTTAGCGTGTGTGTGTGTGTGTGTGTGTGTGTGTGTACATGCATGTGTGGAGTCCAGAGGACAGCTTTTAGTAGATGGTTCTCTTCTTTCACCATGTGGGTTCCAGGGAACTGAACTCAGGTAGCCAGGTTTGGCAGCAAGTGCCTTAATTTGCTAAGGCATCTCTCTGTTAGCATTCAGGCATTACACTGGCCTGCCCCTTGGGGACCTGGCAGGGTGTGTCACCAACCATAGCCACTCCCCGTGCACATGTGCTTTCTAGCATTCAGGCACTACGCTGGCTTGCACAGGGTCCTCACATGCAGCCACTAAGAACACCGCCTGTGTGCAGGACCTTATCAGTATTCAGGCAGGTACATTGGCCAGCTCAGGGTCCTCAGAATACAACATCTGCTGCGTTGCTATGTAATCTCTCTGCACATGTACTATGTCCCATTATAAAAGGCAGGCCCCTGCCCACCTCCCTTCTCTTCTTGCTGCTTCTCATCTCTAGAGGCCTACTCTGCATCCCCTTCTCTCCCCATTCCCTTTCCCTCCAATAAATCTCCCACATGAGTTTGTTGTATGGTGTGACTCTGTGGTGCCCCTTGGCTCCAACCCACCAAGGTCACCCTTCCGCCATTTTTAACTAAACTACAACAATCTCACTGGTTCCATGGGCAACAGAAGTTGGACTTGGTGTTTTTTGTGGGGGAGGGAGTGTAGGTGGAGTTTTTCGTCAAAACTACTGGCTCCCCAGTAAATGCACAGAAACTTAATATTAATTATAAATGCTTGGCTGATAGCTTAGGCTTGTTACTAACCAGCGCTTACAACTTAGATTAACCCATATTTCTTATCTATGCTCTACCATGTGGAGTATCTTTTTTCAGCACAGCATGTTCATCTTGCTTCTCACCACATCTGGTGATTCCTGTGACTCCACCCTTCCTTCTCCTAGCATCTTCTCAGTTTGGCTCTCCTGCCTCATTTCCTCCTGCCTCACTACTGACCAGTCAGCTCTTTATTAACAACGAGAGTAGCTGGGTGGTGGTGGTGCACACCTTTAATCCCAGCACTAGGGAGGGAGAGACAGGAGAATCTTCGTGAGTTCAAGGCTAGCCTGGTCTACAGAGTGATTTCCAGGACAAGCTCCAAAACTACACAGAGAAACCCTGTCTCAAAAAACCACAAACAAACAAACAAATAACGAGAATAACACATCTTCACGGTGTACAAAAGGGTTATTCCACAGCAGGGGAGGAGAGCACCAGGGTGGGAAGGTGGACCTGGGAGGAATGGGAAGCAAGTGTGACTGAGGTGCATTGTATGGAATTCCCAAATAATTAATAAAAATATTTTGTTGGAAAAATTATTATAAGTTGCCTAGGTACTGGACTCTACAAAGGCCAAGTCAAGGACATCACTGAAGATTACCAGCAACACAATTGCAGATCCACATTCTGTTAAAGAAATCCGTAGAGGATGTAGTACATTGAATCCACACTTCAAGTCTTCAATAAACTATTTTCACTTCCAGGTACCTCAGAATCTGGGGATTCATCTTGGGACACATGCTTCTTGTTGTCCTCCGCATATGGTACACATCATTAAACCCGATTTGGAGTTATCAGATGCCCAACAGAGTGATATTGGCCCTGAGTGCCATAGCTGTGTTTGACCGCATTGGCACAGGTAAGGGTATGGTCAGTTTGTCTAGGGATCTTGTCTTTGGTGGCATCTGTCTCTCCCTGTGCACAACTGAAAAAGCATTTTCTCTTTGGTGGTGCTGGGAATCAAACCCAGAACCCCATTCATGCCAGGCAAGCACTCTACCAACTAAGCTCAACCCTTAGCCCAAAGACAACTTGTAAAAATAGCTTTCTGCACTGTAGCTCCATTTCAACTTTCCCTCCTGTTGAGCAGTAATGGACACAGACAATGGGCTGTTACGTAGGCAGACGGCCCCGGTTCCTTGGCAGTGCATACATGGCAGAAAGTAAAGAGGGAACCATGGGCAGGATGTGCCAGTGTGTCCCTAGGGGACTCGAGCAGATCCTGTACTTCAACTCAGTTCAGTTCTGTCTTCTTCTCCATTTCTCTGCTCAGATGGGATGGGAGTCTCCTTTCTCAGCATCCATCTGCCCTGTGTCATTATTTCCAAACTTCACACCCTTCAGGTATCTGAACACAAGTGTTATTTGACTTTCTATTTGAAGATGTGTTGGGTCCGAGGAGCCTGGAGACACCCAGCTGACTACCTTTCATTCAATGATCCAGCTTAGATGACTCCTCTCTGGACTCTCAGCTTGATCCTTGACCTCTCTCTGTCCTCACCGCCCACTCCCACCCCTTCCCCTCCCCATAGCTTTTGGCCCGCTCCTTCCTCTGACCTTGCTCTCGTCATAGTAACTTTCTTCTTCTCAGTAAAATCAGGCTGCCAGTCCCAGAGGCAGGCCCCAGGGCTGCCTTCTGTCCTGTGGAAGCCTTCACAGAGTTGCGAAGCATCTCTCCAGTAGGCTCTTTGTGTGGGTACAAAGACATTCGCCGGCCAACCTTTCCTCCTATGGCCTCGATTTAGTGTGTGAAGTTGAGGCTTTGATGAGAGTCTCTAGTTAAACAGCACTCAGGAACGGGCCAGCATGACACTTAGTTAAGGAGGCACGCAGCCTTAGTGTGGTGTCAGTTTCTCTTCACTGGCTGTGTGTTCTTGGACCAGTTAGTTGATCTCTCTGGGCTTGGATTCTAACCTGTAAAATGGGATTGGTAACACAGCAGACCTCAGACATCGGTAAAGATGAAGTGAGTCGTGTAAAGAGGCCCACACAGCCGAGGCTCATCGACACACGGTCATGATTTGGGTACTTAGAGTGTTCGATGAGACCCTGTTCTTTCATGAGAAAGCAGCCTTTGGTGCTAGGATGTTATATTCAAGCTGGATAATGCTTGTTCTCTCAGGATAACATTCTCCTTTTTCCGCCCATATTTCTCTCATTCTGTTACCTGCACATGAATTTAGTAGCTTTTGCAGTTTTGTCTTTCAGTTCTACCTGCTTTCCCTTACACCACCCCATAGCTAGCCAGAAATGATCCCTTTCATTGATGAGCTCTGGCACATTCAACTTCTGATAGTTGCAATCTCCACTCTCCTGTTGAAAGCTTATTGAAGCCATGGACCATTTCCAAGCACTGAGACTCCAGTAAAAACAGAGGATGCACATATTTTACTCTTCTTCCTTTTTTTTTTTAAATTCTAGATGGTGACTACAGTAACTCTGAGGGGAAGAAGCCCAGTGAGGTCACCAAGGGCATGGCCTCTCGATCTAGCTGGCTGTTGCCGGGTGCCGCCTTTGGGAGCCTCGTGTTCCTCACTCACTGGATCTTTGGAGAGGTCTCCATTGTTTCCAGATGGGCAGTGAGTGGTCATCCTCATCCAGGTCCTGATCCTAACCCATTTGGGTGAGTTCAGCTCTATTGGCTACGGGGAGGAGCCAGAAGGGTGTCTGCTCTGTACTAGAGGATGTGGGAAAGTTGAGGGGAACAGAGGAAGTAGTCCCTACATTCCTGTGTGAGAAGCATTAGGAGTCCCTTACCTGTGGAAGGGAAGGCATGACATCTGCTGGTCATTCTTCTCAGCCCCTCGGATGACGGCATTGGATGTTCGTTGGGATAGATCACAGTGTCATTGGGAACCAAGACTCTTCCTACGTTCTCCTCTGCCGATGGGCAGAATGGTATTGTTTTCCTCATAAACCTAAGAGGATTAAGTGGATAACAACACAAGTGACAGCCCTAAAGCAGAGCTTGGTGTGTAGCAAGTGCTGGGTTTGACATTAGATTTCAACTACGTGAGCAATGTTGTAGCTCCCGTTGCTAATGGATTTCCCGTTAATGTTTACATCAATTATAATTTTTAAAAAATGTATATGAATGTTTTGCCTACATGTTCATCTGTGCAACATATGTGTGCCTGATGCCAGAAGATGCAGTTACAGATGTCCGTGAGCCTCCATGTGGGTGCTGGGAACCAAACCCAGGTCCTCTGCAAGAGTGACAAGTGGCCTTAACTGCTGAGACATCTTTCCAGCCCACCTTGGATTCTCCTCCCGCGAAGTTTTCATAAAAATAACAAAACAATGAAATAGCTCGTGGTAGTTAACAAATAAATAAAACTGTCAAACTGTCACTTATTTTTAGCAAAGAAGACACTAGATAAAATGAAATAGCTCGTGGTAGTTAACAAATAAATAAAACTGTCAAACTGTCACTTATTTTTAGCAAAGAAGACACTAGATAAAAGCAGTACTGAGATAGAATTAAAAAAAAATAAAAGGAAAACTCCACAACAAACATCGCCAATGACTTTTCCTTGGTCTTTGGAAGAGTCATTTGAAGTGTCAGGTGGCTGCTATGAGCTGTAACTGAAGAGTCGAGAATTCAGTTGTTGTGTCTGCACTGACCATGAACAACTACAGGTGTTAGACCGTTTGCGACTTCAATGTTCTACGTTGCTTTATTTCATTTTTGGCACTGTATATGAACTCCAGGGTGTGCATGCTAGGCAAGCCCCCTTTCACTGAACCACACCACCAGCCCTCCTTGAGTGCTCTGTGTACTGGTTCCCCCGTGGCTCTCATTAGCCTGACGGTTTCACATCCACAGTGTGACGCGGATGGGTCGAGCTCGAGGCAGTGGATAGATTTCTGATCTGTGTTCGAGTGATTTATTTATTCTGCTTTTTATTTTCCTTTATGTACAGAGGTACGGTTCTGCTGGGCTTGGCAGGTGGGTTGATGCTTTCAGGCTCATCGTGGCTTCGTGATGCTGGCTTAGCCTGGTGGGTGACAGGTATGTGGAACTGCAGATGCAATGTCATTGCCCCCAACAGTGAAGTGTCCGTTATAGATATCTTGAAGAATATATATATATATATATTGTAGCCGGAAGGTTTCTCCAGTCCCGTCTGGCCCCTTGGTCCCTCGTTCCTCCATTCCCGCCCAGCCCCATGGTGCCTCGTCCCTCAGCTGCTTATAAAGTAATCATTCAGAGGCTTATATTAATTACCAACTGTATGGCCTATGGCAGGGCTTCTTGCTAGCCGGCTCTTTCATCTTAAATTAGCCCATTCCTATTCATCTATGTTTTGCCATGTGACTGTGGCGTTACCGGTCTGCTGTCACCTTGTTGCTCCTTGGGCTGCCAGCTTGCGTCTCCTCTGCTCTCCTCTCTCCTCCCACTGTCTCTCTTGGATTTTCCCGCCTGGCTCCATCCTGCCCTGCCATAGGCCAATGCAGCTTTATTTCTCAACCAGTCAGAGGAACACATATTCACAGCATACAGAAAGATATCCCATAGCAATATATTGTCTATGTAAGACTTGATATGGGTGGATCAAAGCTGATTTCACAGGAATTGGGAGGAAAGTTACACGACCTTAGAGTTGGTTCAGCATTAGGTAACTGCCTGCCATGGACCAGGGAGAATGCACCGTCCTGACCTGGCAGGCTCTGGAAAACCAGTGGACAGAGTGTAGAGTTGCTCCAGCAATGGATCTGTCTCTGGGATCTTCGCTGTGTCCCTCTCTTGGGTGTGTGTGGCTGGAGAAGCCAGTGTATATACTTCCAGACAGCACTTAAATGAGCAATAATTACTTAGAAAGTGCCTTAGCAGGAATGTTCTGGAAACCACACGGACCCTATGTTTTCTGCTGTCTTGTGTCTGTATGGTTGTATTTAATGAACATATTTCTAACTCTGCAAATAATTTCAGTTTCTATTACTGGGAAGATTGTAAGGCTAGCTACTGCAGCGCCCAACCCCTTCCCAAAGATCAAGCATCGGCCTGAGAATTGCCGCACGGTCTCCTTCTAGGAGTGCCAGTGCCAGGCTGTGGCTGTGAGCAGGCCACGTTCTTCTGCTGTGCTTTGGTTTGCTGGGCATTGAGATCAATCAGCGGTCTCCTGAGGTCCTTTCCAGCTCTCAGCCACTGGGAACCGGTCATGCCATGGGCTTTGCTGCTCTCTTGCCCGACTCGTGCTCTTTCTTTTTCTTTTTGTTTCTTACAAACAGGAGCAGCTTCGGCCATGGGTCTCCTTTACCTGCGCACGTGGGCAGCAGCTGTTTCTGGATGTGGACTGGCAGTCTTCACGGGCTCCATGTGGCCTCAAGTACTTGGACACCTTGTGAACTCAGGGACAAACCCTGGGGAAACCATGGCCACTGGCATGGCCATTTATCTTTTAGAGATATTTTTCTGTGCCTGGTGCACAGCTTTTAAGTTTGTTCCTGGAGGTGTCTACGCTAGAGAAAGATCTGATGTGCTTTTGGGTGAGTACCTGTTAACAGATCCAGTTAAAGAAACTGATCCAAGTTCCTGAAGACTGGCCAGGACTTAGCATCTTATATGAATTCTGGAAATAAACAGATAGACTCTAGGTAAAGAAAGTCCAGCCGGGCGGTGGTGGCGCACGCCTTTAATCCCAGCACTCGGGAGGCAGAGCCAGGCGGATCTCTGTGAGTTCGAGGCCAGCCTGGGCTACCAAGTGAGTTCCAGGAGAGGTGCAAAGCTACACAGAGAAACCCTGTCTCGAAAAACCAAAAAAAAAAAAAAAAAAAAAAGAAAGTCCAGAAGGATGGCTAAATTATAGTGAAAAATAAATTTCATCATTTGTTGCTCAAATTAAGTGTACTTCTACAATGTTTATTACTCCACTGCCCTTTAAAATGAATTAGTTTGCCAGGTGTGGTGGTACACACCTTTAATACCAGCCTTTTGGAAGCAGAGGCAGGTGGATCTCTGTGAGTTCTAGGCCAGCCTAGTCTGTATACTGAGTTCCAGCTTGGCTAAGGCTACATAGTAAGACTATGCCTCAAATAAACAAGCAAATAAAATGAGTTAGTTGAGAAAAAAATGTGTAAACCGTAAGAAAGCCTATGTGTAAATCTTAGTGTTACAAAATTCAATGTTCAAAGCTTATTTCGAAAATATTTTTAAAGTTATTTTTCTGAAAAAAGGAAGTTACTAATTTGTAGCAGGTATATAGAAAACCAACAATGTCAATCTCTCTCTCTCTCTTTCTTCTGTTTGTAACAGAGTCTTACTTTGTAGCCTAGGCTGGCGTGGAACTCACTCTGTTGATCAGGCTAAACTTGAACTCATGGGAATCCTTCTGCCTCAGCCTCCGATTGCTGAGATTACAGGTGTGAGCCATTAGAACGGGCTACCACTCTAAAACTGAAGTAGAGCGTGTCGAGTCCTTTCTCAACAAAGCCTAAGAAAACAGGGAGGCATTGGCGTTGATAGAGATTCAGCAGTTCTGGCTCGTTCATGCTTTGGGTTTTATACTTGTTCATTATTCTCATAAAAATTATTGTGTCTGTGCTATGCTCCTGGCACAATGCCGGGGGCTGGAGATGAAAAGTCCTCAGTGTTCCTCCCCACAGGAAACTTCCCTGGAATGAGGGAAGGGAGCTTACATGGATAAAACAAATCCTTAGAGGAGTGCCTGATGGGAGAGGGGTGGCTTCCCCCCACAGTCCACCACAGTTCTCCCAGACACCACCCATCTCACGGCCACCTTCCTACCCCACAAGCTACACTTCTGTCAGAACAGGCTGCTCTGAAAGACTCACTGTGAAGTGAAACAGGATCTTTGAGAAACAGCCTTTGAGAATTCCCTATTTCCCATCTTGGCTGGAGCTTTTAGCTCCTTAGAGGAACATAGAGCCCTGACCCCAGCTCCTCCCAAATCTTTCTCCACCTCTCTACCCACCTAACATCACATTCTTTCTCTTTATTAAAACAAACAAACCAAGAAACAAATAACCCACAAAAAAACCAGGGAGTCCTGTGGGAGGCCAGCTCCCACCTTTGAAAGGGTTCCTATGAGGAGGAGAGAGGAATAAGAAACTTTTAGACAGAAAGATAGCTGGAAGAGAGGAGAGGAGACAGACAGAAACACGGGATAGCTTCAGGAGGACCTGAATCAAAATCCACCCGCCCCTTCTGTCTCTTCAAAAGGGCTTTTTATAACAATGCCATGGAGCAGGGCAAAAGACCTTTCCCTTGCTAGATCCAAGCACACCACACAGCCAAGTGCAGACCCTTCCACACACCTGGTCACCACGCCCGTGGTCCAATCATCCCCTCATGCAGCCCTGCTGGTTAAAGCAAGCTCAGATCTCACTAGGAAACCGCTGTGGGTCTCCACAGAGTCCGATCTGTGTTGGCCAACTACCCCAGGCCTGGGACCTACTCTGGAGTCTGGTTGATATACCCAGTGTCACTCTACTGAGGAAAAGGGATTTTTCCCTCTCCCTGCAGGTATCAATTACAAATAGCTTCTTGGTTGGGGGGTGGGGGACTTTGTGCCCAGGTTCCCACATTTTCTCTGCAGGTGCCTGGCTTTGTAAACTTCCTAATTCTTGTGGTTTCTTTCAGGTGGGTCTACTCTCTCGGGCTCTGCTCTCTCCAGTGTCCTGCTCTTTTCTCACTCCGGCTTGCTCAGGGTTTTGCCAGGTGGAGGACGGGAGTGAACGTAAGAGCTGGGCCACGCCTACCTTCGTTTCTTTGGGGCGCTATGAACGATGAGCTTTGCTAGTTCATTCTCCCTACTCACAGACCTGTGAAACCACGCTTTATTTCCGCCTCATACAACTGAGAACCTTCTTTAGTAAGAAGAGCGACATAGTAACAAGGCCAGAAACGTGGGCAATGTTGAGGAGCTTTCTGCAGAATGTGTTTATGTGTTCTTTGAGAATTCTGTACAGTATATTTTGATCATATTCCTTCCCCTTCCCCAACTCCTCCAAGGTCTTCCCCCACCTCCCTACCTACCCAACTTCACATCCTTTCTATCTATTGAAACAAACAAAATAAAAAGGTGCACAAAAGAGCATGGAGAGTGATTTGTCTTAGGCAACCACTACTAAGCATGTGTGTGATATACCCAGTGTCACTCCATTGAGGAAAGCTGATTTTCTCTCTCCTAGCAGATATTAATTGCAAGTAGCTTCTTGGTGAGTTGTGGGACTTTATGTCTCCTTCCCTATTTCTCTGCTGGGATTTTTGTCTGGTTTGAACTTGTGCTGGGTCTTGTGTGTGCTTTCTCAGTCTCTGTGAGTTCTGCTGTGCCTGGAAAATGTTTCCTTGGAGCATCCTCTTACAATATTTCTGCCCCTTCTTCTGCATCGTCTTGAGCCTTCAGGGGGAAGTTGGGATAAAGACGACCTTTTAGGGCTGAGCACTGGGAAGTCTCTCATTCTCTATACATTGTCCAGTTGTGGGTCTCTGTGTTAATTAACATCTTCTGCAAGAAGAAGCTTCTATGATGAGGGTTGAGTGAGCTACTGATTATGGATGTATCAGTATGTCATTAGGAGTCATTTTATTGCTATAACCATTTGGCAGAATAACAGTAGTAGGTTTTCTCCTAGGACCTGTGACCTGTCTAGTTTCAGGTTCTTGGCCTCAGAAAGTGTCAGGTATGGGTTTCATTTCATTGAGTGGGACTAAATCAGATTAAAAAAAAAATGTAGTTGGTTTCTCCCATGACATCCATGCCACTATTGAACCAGTGGGCATAGCTTGTGGGCAGGTTGTTGCTATAGTTCTCAGCTTCCAGTTGAGTGCCAGCTAGATTTCTCCATGCTATTCTCTGCAAGAGCAGTGAGTGCTCTCACCCACTGAGCCGTCCTTCCAGCCTCAGTCACACCATGGTTTTTAAAAAGAATTATTGTTTTTATGATACTCAGTATTGAACCCAGGGCCTCATGAATGCTAGGCAAGCACTTTGCCACTGAGTTATGCCCCATCTCTCTCTTTTTTTTCCTCTTTCAACAGGCACCATAATGGTAATTATTGGATTGAGTATGTTGTTTGGACCTAAGAAAAACCTTGACTTTCTTCTTCAAACAAAAAATAGTCCTAAAGTGCTTTTAAGAAGGACTGAAAAGTATATGAAACTTAGTAAGTATAGTTTTACTTACCTTCAAAATGTTTGGTATATACATTTTATTTTTTTCTTTATTTTTCCTCCTTCCTTCCTTCCTTCCTTCCTTCCTTCCTTCCTTCCTTCCTTCCTTCCTTTTTCTTTTTCTTTGTTTTTTTGTGACACAGGATCTTTTGTTTGTTTGTTTGCATTTCAAGACAGGGTTTCTCTGTAGCTCTGGCTATTCTAGAACTCGATCTGTAGACTAGGCTGGCCTCAAACTCACAGAGATCCTCCACCTGCCTCTGCCTCCTGAGTGCTGGGTTTTTTTTTTTTTTTTTTTTTTTGGTTTTTCGAGACAGGGTTTCTCTGTGTAGCTTTGCGCCTTTCCTGGAACTCACTTGGTAGTCCAGGCTGGCCTCGAACTCACAGAGATCCGCCTGGCTCTGCCTCCCGAGTGCTGGGATTAAAGGCGTGCGCCACCACCGCCCGGCATGCTGGGTTTAAAGGCATGCGTCATCCCTACTGCCCAGCTTGAGACGGGTCTTTTTATATAGTTCTGGCTGTCCTGAAACTCACTATGTAGACCAGGCTGGCCATGAATTCACAGAGATCTTCCTGAACTCACAGAGATCCTCCTATCTCTGCCTCCCCAGTGCTGGGATTAGAGGTGTATGCCACCGTGCCTGGCTCATGTTGTATACATTTTTCCAATATGAAATTTAAGAGTGCCATGAAGCCTGCTGTGCCCTTCACTTGGCTGCAGCAACCCTCTGTGTTTTGCTGCCAGTTGTCTTTGTTTTCTTCCTGCCTTTTTTTGGTTTGTTGAAACATTTGGCAGAATATTTGTTTGACTATGCAAAGATGTGTTGGATTTGTTTAACTATGTAAAGATGTGTGGCATTTGTTTATGTTGCAGGATATTTGTCTAACTATGTAAAGATGTGTGGCATTTTTTAAATTATGTAAAGATGTGTTGCTATTTTACCTTGCCTGCCTAAGGCACCTGATTGGTCTAATAAAAAGCTAGATGGCCAGTAACGAGTGAAGAGGTATAGGCAGAACTTCCGGGAAGAGAGAGTAAGTAGGGGGAGAAATTTAGGCTTGTGAAGAAAGAAGAGGAGACAACAGGGAGATGTCAGGGGACAGACAGACAGACGACATGGAGGAAGCAGGAAAGTAGGACATACAGAATGAAAAAAGGTAAAAATCCCCAAGGCAAAACAGAGGAATAGAAACAGATTAAATAGTTAAAAGAGCTACTGAGACAAGCCTAAGCTAAGGCCGAGCATTCATAATTAATAAGAAGTCTCCATGTCATTATTTGGGAATTGGTTGGTGGCCCAAAGAAAAATCTCAACTACAGAAACGCATTTAAGCAAATCCCTGATATTGTGGCATTTCAACCATAAATACCCTATATGGTTATATTTCACTTCTAACAGAAAATTTATCAGGTAGAATTTCCAAGATGTTTTCTTCTGATAGTTGAGACCATCTATTCCGTCTCTTAACTCTTTCTTGCTTTGGAAGATTAAACATGTTAACATTAGTATGTTGATAAACTATAGACTCACACATGAAATAAGCTTGTCATCTAATATCTGATTCATTTTAAGTGAACTGAATCACATATAAATATTCAGTGAATGCATGCAATGTGCTGATTAGGTGACTGTTATGTAGGATACAAAGACATGTGAACACTGGTTTATACCCTTAAAAGTTTGAAACTTTACCAAAGGAGACAAACTATTATTATAAAAAGAGACAACAGTTGAAACTATATATTCAAACTTTTCTTCAAAGTATTTCTGAGTGCTATGTCACGAAAAGTCGCACCATTATATGAAACCCATCACGGATGTCTCATCATAGCCTGGGAAAATCTTATTTAAATTGAGATTTTTCTCAGTGCATTTGGCAGTCACAGCTTCACTGTGGTGTGCCTGGGGGTGGAGTTTGTCCTCACCCTGCTTGGGAGTTTTTGGGTTCTTTCACTCTGAAGATTCCTGAGTCTCTTACCTATGGGACATCCTCAACAAGGTCTTTTCTCAGCTGTTTCCTCATTCTCTCTCCTCCTTCCTTTTTGATGCCAACTGGTTGTAGTGGACCTTCTGTTATTTCTGTTTTTAAGTACTCTCATTTTTCCTGCCTCTGTTTTTTTTCTTTAAATTAAAAAAATGCATATTCATTCATTCATTCATTCATTCATTCATTCATTCAGTGTGTATGTAGGGGGCAGGGCACATGTATGAGGTCAGAGGCCAGCTTAAGAGAGTCTGTTCTTTTGGTCCATCAGGTCGGTGCTGGGGATCAAACCCAGGTCCTCTGTCTTGGCAGCATGTGCCGTTACCTGCTGAGCCGTCTTGCCGGCCCCCTTCCTCAGTACCCCCCCGCCTTTTGCATTCATTCCCCCCGTCTAATCTGCTCTGTACCTTGCTCATTGAATTTTTTCTCACCCATTAAATTATATATTTTTATTTCTAGCTTAAAAAATTTATTTTGTGGGTGTGGGTGTTCACCAGCACGTACGTCTGTGTACCATTTGCATGCCTGGTGCCCGTGGAGGCCAGAAGGGGCTGTCAGATCCCCTGGAGCTGGAGCGATAGACAGTTGTAAGCTGCCATGCGCTGTGAATCAAACCTGGGTCCAGTGTTCTTAACCGCTGGTCCATTGCTCTGCCCCTATGTCTTTATTTCTAAAAATCTGCTTTATTTCTTCGCAAATTTCCCTGATTGTTCTGTTTTTAGCCTTACATTCCCCAGCCACACGTTGGCATGCTCTCTTGTTTTTAAACACACCAGGCACACTCACTTCGTATTCTGATTCTCAAATTTCTGACATCTACGGTCTCCGTGTGCTTGGTGCTTCAGGACATCTTTTTCTGCCATGTGGTACCTGCAAAAATATCTTTTCTTGTGTATTTTGTAGTTAATTCTTACTTTACGCTCACTGCTCTTGGAACGTTCTCAGGGAGTATTCTTCAAAAGCCTGCTTTTAAAGTATGGGTAACGTATCCATGTCCCACAGAGACTCCTTGGTCAAAAGATATAATTTTTAAAAGTTATTTAAAAGTTTTAGTGTCTTTTTAACGATCCTTTCTTCTTTTTGTTTAGTTTTGTGGCTGCTGGTTGGTGTGGGGTTATTAGGATTAGGACTACGGCACAGAACGTATGAGAAGAAACTAGGCCAAGGGGTAAGTTTTACTTTATGTGTGTGTGTACATATACATGTATATTGTGTACACACACACACACACACACACACACACACACATATAAAATATTGCACAACTCCATTTTGTTTTGAAACCTTTGACAGTGTTTGGGCATTTTCCACTTTTTTTCCTTTTTGTTAATTTTTTCCCTTAGCATTTAAAGTGAAATTTACATACATACTTATCATGTAGATATTTACTCTCGTTACTCATTTTTTTGTCTTCCTGTCTTTTCTTCTAGATAACTTCTTCTCCCACACAGCCCCGCCTTCTGCTTTCATATTACATATAGGTATATAATTAGATTATAAGGGAAAGTGAGTGACACTTGTTTTTCCGAGGGTAGTTTATTTCACTTAACACAGTGGTCTCTACTTGCATCCATTCCCATGCAGATAACACCATCTCACTCTTCTCTGTGGCTCAGTAAAACTCTGTTGTGTATTTGTGCTGTGTTTTCTTTACTGGCTAATCTATTGGTGGGCATCTTGGTTGATTTCAAGTATTGGCTATTGTGAATACTGTAGCAAAATATCTCTGTGGTATGTTAACTTAGATCCCCTTAGGTAGGGGACCCAGGAGTGGTGTAGCCTGATTATATGGTGCTTGTGGTTTAGTTGGTGTGGATGTAGTCACCTTTATTTTGGGTATGTATTTTGCCTGCGTGTATGTATGTGCACTTTGTGTGTGGTTGGTGCTCACGGAGGTCGGAAAGGGGCTTCAGATCCCCTGGAACTGGAGTTATCGATGGTGATGAGCCTACACATGGGTACTGGGAATCAAACCCAGGTCCTCTGTTAGAACAGTAAATGTTCTTAACCACTGAACAGCCCCATGGTTTTAGTGTCTTGAGGAGCCTCTACACTGACTTCCATGGTAGGTGGAATGCTTCACATTCTGATGAGCTGTCCCTAAAGGTTAGTCATTTCCCACATTTGTGGCCGTTTATTTTTCTGGACGGTTGTCATCCTCACCACATAGCTTTGTGTTTTCCTGATGGCTACAGATGTTTAGTGTTTTTTCTTATATTGATTAGCCATGTATATTTGTTCCTTTAAAGGGAATGATTTGTTTGCTTCATTAGCCCGTTTATTGCTGGGGCAGTTGAGTTTTGGTTATTTAGGTAGTTTTGAGTTCTTTATGTATTACAGATGCTAAACCTCTATCAGATGTAGAGCTGACGAAGATTCTTTCCCACCGTGTAGACTGTGCCTTCACCCCACTGCTTCTTTCTGTTGCTCTCTGTGTGTCACTGTTTTGACTTAATGCTCGGCCTGGATGCGGTGACTTTAAGACCTTGGGTCCCATTCCTTTTTCTCTTAGGCTGATCATAGAATGGAATGATTTAGGAAGTTGAATTCTGAGTCAGTGTAGACCTAATGTAATAATGACCACTTGCTCCTGATTTTGATATGTAGAGTTATTTTTCCATTCATGATTTAATATTAAATTATAAAAGAAGAGAGTATTTTGTATTTGATGGAGACTGCTGAAGATATGAATATGAGAGTCTTTGATTTAAGGAAAATCTGAGAAACAAATCTTGATTTTATAAATCATGTATATCTTGTATCCTGGCATTCTGTGGATGTTTTATTGTCCTTTGCTTTTTGTAATTTTAAATGTCTAGATGTTCTCTGCTCTTCTAGAAAGAGGCAGAAGCAAGGGTAAGTCACTGCAATGCTGTGTTTCCCATCCATTCTGGTAAAAAGATAATTGCATTTCCTAGAGCAGCCAGAGCGACAGTTTGAGATAAAATAGAATTTGAGAATTACTGCTGAATTTCAGCGATCTGTACTACCAGGAAAAATGTCTTCATATTAAAAAAAAGATAAACTGAGGAAGGAGACTGTGGTCCATGTTTCCCTGATTCTCCTTTCCCCTCCCCTCCCCTCTTTCTCCTCTTCCCTCTTCTCCCCTCCCCCTCCTCTCCCCTCTCCTCTCTCCCCTCTCCTCCCCTCCTTTCCCCTCCTCTCCTCTCCCCTCTTCTCCCCTCCTCTCCTCTCCCCTCCTCTCATTCCCAAGCAGTGTTAGAGACCAAACCCAGGCCTCACCCAGTAACTATTCCCTGTTAAGTAGATAGTAATAAACCACTGATGCTGGCGACTTTGGATGCTTTTTCCATGTTAATTATTATTGTTACAATACACTCTCCATATGAAGAGGATGCCTGACGTCAGCCACAGACTCTTTCTGAAGGGATTGTTTGTACTTGACCTATTGCTTGCTCATTCATTTGCTTTCTTATGGCAAGTGTTCATCGACTGCCTCTTGCTGTGCTCGGTGTCAGAGGCGCATGGGAGGTGCAGGACAGATCTCGGCTCTCTCGGCTCTCCTGGCTCTCCCGCACTTTGCGTTCTAAATAAAGACAGTATTCATGAAAACAAGTGAAGAAAGACTCTGGCTGTAGGCCAGCTGGCTTTTTAGGAAGCAAGACTGTGGAATGGAAGCTAGAGTCTGGACGGCTAGAGAAGCTTCTCTGACATTTGAGATGAGACTTGAAAGTCGAAAAAAGCCAGTTATTTAGATGTGATTCAGCTACGAAAGGAAATGTGTGTAAAGGATTGAGGGAGAGCCAGCTTATAGTGTTTGAGATGCATCAGAGTGACCTGCAGGGCTGAGATGTCATGGAGCGGAGGATGATGCAGTTGGAGAGGCTGCGGATGGCCTTATCACACGGTTTCTCAGTGAAACATCTGTGAAGGATCATAAATAGTAGATGTGAACACGGCTGCTGTAGGCAGGAGAAAAAAAGAGATTGTAGGAGGCTTTTTCAGTGAAAGAGGTGTTTTGAGTGGAGTGCTACAGAGAACTGGAGAGATTTAGAACTTTAGACACAAAACCATCACACACATGCATACACACATATACATGCACACACACATGCATACAGACATGCACACACGCTTGCATACACACGTAATTACTCTCCTCACGCTGGGACAAGATGCCCCATAGAACAACCTGGGAGAAGGATTTGTTTCAGCTCACAGTTTCAGGGCATCGGAGGCATAGTGCCTGGGGCTCTTTATGTGGTGGCAGGAGCGTGGTTTGAAAGAAAGAAAGAAAGAAAGAAAGAAAGAAAGAAAGAAAGAAAGAAAGAAAGAAAGAGAAGAAAGAAAGAAAGACTCCCCAAACACTTGTCTGAACTGTCAAGTTTAAGTTAGAAGTTCACCGATTTACTTTGAAAGGACTATAGGGTAAACATCTTATTTTTATGAATTAAATATGGGTACATGTCTATGGAATTTCCTTTGCTGAAATGTGAACTTTGAAAAGGGAGAGATGGAGAAGGCTGGCACCCCCAAACTTCCACTGTCCATAGTTATACAACATTATCACTTCCACAATCCCTTAGGCACCAGTGAAAGTGGTTTCCGCTGCCATCTGGCCCTTTAGGTTTGGATATGACAACGAGGGATGGTCGAACCTGGAGAGGTCCGCTCAACTGCTCAAGGAGACGGGTGAGTCTCTCTGGAATTAGCTCCAGGTTTTGAGAAACCACTGTCGTTCCTTTTATTTTTGCTAAGTTGCCAAGTCTTAGGATTGCTGCGCGTGCTAAGTTTAAGTTTAAGTTCCTAAAGAGGCTTCGCTTGTGACCAGCTCAGGCCCACACTTCTGCACCACAGCTGTCTTTTGGAGCGATTAGTTCATTGATCCTGAACAGCCTGTCCTACTGAGTGTCTCCGGGAGAGTCATTCATGCTCTTGTTGTTGGAGATGTTCCTGCTGGTGTCTCTTGCCACCTGAGGACCCTCTGCTGAGGACCAGGAACTATTTGATTACAAAGCAGAAAGAATTAAAGGGATGAAAATGGTTTTCGGGGTTGAAAATGGTTTTCGGGGTCTGGAGAGATGGCTCAGTGGTTAGAAGCACTGGCTGCTCTTCCAGAGGACCCAGCTTCAGTTCCCAGACCCACATGGCAGCTCACAACTGTCTAACTCCGGTTGCAGGAGATCCGACATCCTCACATGGGCATGCATGCAGATTATAAAAAAATTTAAAAAATGTTTTCAGAAAGCCCCAGGGCCAATCTGATTTATGTCTCTATGCCCTTGAGGAGTTTTCTTGTTGTGAAGCACCCCAAAGTGTGTGGGGATTTGGGTCTTAGGTCAACATCATGGAGTGTGCAACAGGATAGCAAAAGGCTAAATGGTTCTGGTTCTCTCTCAGGCTAACCTCAGATCTTGAGAAGTGTCCAAGTGTCCTCATGAGCACAGGGCCTTGAGTCTTAATTACAAGGCTCAGGCGCAGAGGCCAGAGTCTAAGAAAGGCTGAAAAGTTCATTTTATGCCAATGCTCTGGAGCTGTTTGCTTTGGACTAAAATGGCGTTGTTGTGTTGGAGATGTAGCTCAGTAGGGTAGAGTGTTTGCCTACCATACACAAAGTCCTGGGTTCAATCCCCATCACTGAATAAACTGGGCATGGTGGTGAGATATATATATCTGTAACCCAAGCACTCTGGAGGTGGAGACAGGAGGACAGAAGTTCAAGGTCATCCTCAGCTACATTAAGAGGCCAGCCTGGGCTACATAAGACCCTATCTCAAAAAACATGTGCACTATTCTACTGTTTCTGAACATGAATTGGGAATTTATGAAAGACATGAAGATGCTTTGGACTTCTGGGAAAAGCATCAAGGATATTTTCAAAATGTAGAAAAGTCATACTTTCCCCCTTCCTTAAGATGTCCCACACTTTAATTAAAGTTTAATCATCCAACAGAGATTCAAACCACACTCCTCTTATGACTCATAAGGAAATATTTGTTGGGGGTTTATGAGTAAAGGCAAGGCAAATGAGTAGCATTCTGCTGGGTGTGGTGGTATGCATCTTTAATCCCAGCACTTGGAAGGTAGATGTAGGAGGATCCTGAGTTTGAGGCCAGCCCTGACTACCAAATGAGCGTCAATAAAATGAAAAAAAAAAAATAGCAAAGTCCGTAAAGTGTTTTGCTAATGGCTTTTTATGTTGTCCTTTCCTCGCTGTCTGCCCTTTTCCCAAACAGGTGCAGACTTTATTACCATTCTGGAGAGCGATGCTTCTAAGCCCTACATGGGGAACAATGACTTAACCATGTGGCTGGGGGAGGAACTGGGCTTCTATACAGACTTTGGGCCCAGCACCAGGGATCACACTTGGGGGTGAGTAGACCTTGGGCGTTAATTCTGAGCAGAGTCCTGAAGAGTAAGCAGCAGTGTCTTGGAATGGGAAGGTGAGACTGTCCCGTGAATACGCCTCTGTGACACATTTGGGTGGCAGGGAGGCACTAACACTACGCATAGTCATGAATGTTCGTTGCAGCTTCCTAGGGCTGGATGTTACTGGTTCTTCACATAGATCAGCCCGTCAAGGCTGGAGTCAAGTCAGAGTGCCAGGCCTGTCTGATAGTCTCAGGTAGCTTATATTCTGGTGTAACAGGCCAGAACACAGTTGGCCTTTTTGGGGGGAGGGGCTCAGCCAGCTCCCAAGTAAATTACACATACAGCTTCTTCACTCTTGGATTCAAACAACTGGAAATGGAGAATGTTTGAGAAATTCTAGAATGTTCCAAAGAGTGGAGCTAGAGAGATGACTCAGCAGTTAAGAGCACTTGCTGCACTATCGTGAGGACCACCGTTCAGATCCCAGCACACACATAGCAACTGGGCATTTCTACCAATACCAGAACTCCAGTCCCGAGGGATCTGACTCCCTCTTTGGGACTCTGTGAGCACAGACAGGTGCACCCACACACATATATGCATGTACACGCATACACACACACACACACACACACACACACACACACACACACACACACACACCAAATAAAGTCTTCAAAAAGCAGAAAGTTCCCAAAAAAGTAAGACTTGAATTAGCCCCTCATTAAGTACTATATTGAATTCCTGGGAATGAACTAGTGTATAGGTATTAAATTACATGCTATAAATAACCTACAGGTGATTTAACACACTCAGGAAAAATATATAGATTGTATGTTAATGTGACATGATTTTTACATAAGACGCTTAATCATTTGAACATTTCTGTGTTTGTGGGCATCATGGAGCCAGTCCGCTCCAGACACAGAAGGACAACTATAAACATGTTCACAAAGAAATAAACAAGACAATCTGAGATTGTGATATGTGCTACGTATGAAGAAAACGAGCTACTGAGAGAGAGTGGGTGGGCGGGCGGGGTAGTGGCCGTGGGATGTTGTTTAGAGTAATAATACAAGTAAAATGGGCCATTTCACCTTACCAATGCCGTCTTTTTGTGACTTTGTGGCATTTACTGAAACACGCTTGATATTGTGATCAGTGGCACGGGAAGACAGGCCAAATAGAAAGAGGCAATGAACGAGGGACTTCCACAGAAGTTCTCCCACATTCCCACTCTGAGTGCCGCTGCGTGGGTGCCTGTCGTGTGACATGGCCTTTTAATGCATTTCCTTCATCTCCTCTCCATGGTAGGCTGAGACCCACATGGCCTGCTTCTTTTCATTTTCATCCAGGATCATGGTGCTGTCGCGGTACCCAATTGTGAGATCGGAGCATCACCTTCTTCCGTCGCCAGAGGGCGAGATTGCACCAGCCATATCTCTGACCGTTAACATCTCCAACAAACTGGTGGACTTTGTGGTAACACATTTTGGCAATCACGAGTGGGTTTCTTTGGTTTACTTAATATTATAGAAATGACAGGGAGAATTGTTCAAATAGTACTTGCCTTTCTGACTTTCCACTCATTTAGAAAACATCTTAGATGATTTTCCCTGTGCTGATGGTTGCACATGCATTTCAGATGCAGACAGTCCTTAGCGACGACCGTGCAAGTCACAACTGCTACATGTGTAGTAGTTCTCCATACATGTGTGACTGTGTTTAATCCTCAAGTTATACAGGCAAAGGGCCATATTGGCCTCATTTTATGCATGAAGACATCAGGTGGAGAGAGGTTAGATGATGTGATGGTCAGGGTCACAGAACAGGAAAAAGTTAGAACCAAGTCAGAGGTCGCATGTGCTTGGAACTACCCCTTAAACCAGACTGTAGAAAAAAAAATACACCCCCTGTCCTTAGAGGGTTATCAGCACAAATAGCTGTACTTTGGGATCTGAGGGCACCAAGTGACATTCCTTTCTTTTCTCCCATTTTCAGAAACACCTGACAGGCAACACTGACTATCCACACAGATTTACTCAGCTAGGTCCTGTCTTCCAGCCTCCTTCAGTAGGATTTCTCCTCCATTCTTGATTCCTGGTGATCTCCCCACATCTTGCCTTAGCTCTGTAATAGTCATAGCTATCTTTCTATGAAAATGCCACAAGGTGGTGGTGGCACATGCCTTTAATCCTAGCACTCAGGTGGTAGAGGCAGGTGGATCTCTGAGTTCGAGGCCAGTCTGGTCTACAGAGTGAGTTCAGGAAAGCCAGGGATGTACAGAGAAACCTTGTCTTGGGGGATGGGGGGGAGAAGGAAGGAAGGAAGGTAGGAAGGAAGGAAGGAAGGAAGGAAGGAAGAAAGAGAAAGAAAGAAAGAAAGAAAGAAAGAAAGAAAGAAAGAAAGAAAAAGAAAGAAAGAGGGAAGGAGGAAGGAAGGTAGGAAGGAAGAAAGAAACAGAAAGAAAGAAAGAAAGAAAGAAAGAAAGAAAGAAAGAAAGAAAGAAAGAAAGAAAGAAAGAGGGAGGGAGGAAGGAAGGAAGGAAGGTAGGAAGGTAGGAAGGAAGGAAGATAGAAAGGAAGGAAGGAAGGAAGGAAGGAAGGAAGGAAGGAAGGAAGGAAGGAAGGAAGGAAGGGAAATGACTTGTTTACTCATGGATCTGTTCCTTGCTCCCGTTCGTGTCTATACATTACGAGGAATGAAATTTCCCAGAGTCCTTTGCCGTCTGCTTCCTAGGCGGATCTAGCCAATGAGAGGCACAGGTTGGGAAGACAAGAAAAGGAGGAAGCCAGGGCATGTCTCGCCCTTTCTCTGTGTTTTTTCTGGTTTCTCTGGCAGCAGCCGAGTCTCTTCCAGGGCTGCAGTTCCTTCCTGGAAGGCCCCAGCTCCGTCACGGAAACCTCTGCCCTAAGTGAACTCCCTCTAGCCAATGCTGACTTCGGACTGACTCTCTAGTGTCACCCCTGCCTGTCCCTCCTCTAGCTGTCGGGGTGGTGTTAGTGTCTCATTGCTGCCGACCTCTGATGGCATCGCTGGCCCCTGACTGGCTCCTCACCACTTAAGTAACCAATTCCCTATATTAAATTCCCTCTGTTTGAAACTCCTGGGGTGCCTTGCTCTTCCTGAGAGGTCAAACAAATATGTTCTTTTCTCTGAGACAGTAGAGCCCCCCAAAGCTTAAGGTACTCGCTGACTTATCTGTTTCACGCCTACAGTAATTCGTATGTTAATAACAGGATGCCCAGCCAGTATTTGGGCAAGAGAGCAGAGGAGACATTCAGAAAATGTTCAGTCAAAGTAACACTGTGGGTCACACAACAATACAAACAAAAAGATCCAGGGATGCGATGCCTGGTGGCTATTAGTTCTTTAGCTTTGATCCTGGTGACCAGGTCTCACATCACTGTCACACTTTCTTCTTTAACTTGTGTATTTTATATTTACTCACTATGCTGAAGTGTAAGCATTGGGCCTTTGTACATGTGAAGCAAATACTCTACCTTGATGAGCTACATCCTCACACCTGCCATGACTTATTCATAGTGAAGAAAAACTTGAGCAAATTCTGTGTTTGGCATAGAAATTTAAAGATGTGTTTCATTTTTATCTGTGCACCTGTGCCTGTGAGTAGGGATGTACACATAATTGTGAGTGCCCAAGGAAGCCACAAGAGGGTGACAGATGTCTTGATGCTGGAGTCACAGGTGGTTGTGAGCTGGTTGACCTGGATGCTGGGAACTGAATTCCATTCTTCTGCAGGAACAGCGAGGACTCTGAAGTGCTAAGCCATCTTGTCATCCCCAGCAGAGATTTTAAATCAACTTGACTCAGTGGTTTCTGAAGAAAGGTGTTTCGTAGTCAAGACTTTGTCAAGCCCAGTTTGAAGTGCTGATCTATGTCCTGTTCATTGTAAAAACTCAGACCTTTTCCCAACAGAAATTGCTCTGGTTTTGTACCCTGTTTGAGGATATTTTGGGGGAATTTGGCTACCTGTTTTTTTTTTTTTTTTTTTTTTTTTTTTTATTGTTGTACACATAGAGTGAAGAGGCTCCTTTCTGTATTTTTTTTCAGAGATGACCTTGACCGAAAGTTACAGGCTATTGCAGTTTCAAAATTATTGAAAAATTGCTCAAACCAAGTGATATTTCTGGGCTATATCACTTCAGAACCTGGTTCCAGAGATTACCTACAACTCACAGAACATGGCAACGTGAAGGTGACGCAATTTTAACACGATTTCTGATCTATAAAGTTAAATGCTTCTTTATTCCTATATGCTTAAAAAATCCAACCAAAAAAAGGGCATGCATGTGTGTGTGTGTGTGTACAATTGGAGGTCACATTATTTTGAGACAGGGTCTCTCACTGAACCTGGAGCTCATGGAATAGACCCTGGGGTCTGTTTGTTTCTACTTTCCCAGGGCTAGAATTACAAAGCGTGTACCAACTGTGCCCAGATTTTTATATGAGTGCTGATGATATGAACCCTGGTTTGTGTGGCAAGCCCCTTTCCAACTGAGTCATCGCCCCAGCACCTGATAACTTAATATATAGTTGTCTTATTGGGCACCAAAAAGCACTGCACAGCTTACTGCTTTGAAACAACACAACACATAGATTTGCTCACTAATCCACACTGTGGACAGGGTTCAGTGGGGACAGCTCAGCTGTGTTTCACACAGGGCTGGTAAGCTGTTTCTTAGGCACCACAGGATTTCCTGTGTGGAGGAGGATTTATAAGCAGTGCTTTTGGCTCGGGACTATGGCTCCTACTCACGGGCTAACTGGACTTCCTCCCTTCATGGTGGCTAGGTTCCCGAGTGAGTAAACAAGGGGAGAGTCTGTGTTGTCCTCTGGGACTTGACCTTCCACGTGACACGGTGTCACTTCTGCTTTGGTCATAATTCTTACCGCATTGACCTGAAGGAACATAAACCCCACTCCTTGACTCAAGGAGTGTCAAAGGCGTCTAGTAAGAATCCCACAGGCCCAGGGAGATGTTATTGTAACTGCACGTAGAAAATAGAGTCCAGCTGGGCGGTGGTGGCGCACGCCTTTAATCCCAGCACTCGGGAGACAGAGCCAGGTGGATCTCTGTGAGTTCAAGGCCAGCCTGGGCTACCAAGTGAGTTCCAGGAAAGGCGCAAAGCTACACAGAGAAACCCTGTCTCGAAAAACCAAAAAAACAAAAAACGAAAAACAAAAAACAACAACAAAAAAAAGAAAATAGAGTCCAAACACACTGGGAAAGTTAGTTCCAAGGCTGTGAGTAAAAGCAAAAATGGAGTATCAGAAAGAGTGGCTTCCAGGCACACAGGGCCCAACTGTACCTTTCCAGGTCTAAAACACTTCAATTCTACAGCGTCTCCTGAGATAATCAAGCTCTCAGGAAAGACTATACAAACCAAACATCTAAGAGACTGATCCACGCACCGGAATATGACACATATTAGTTTATAGTAAGAACACAGTTGCTGTGCTCGATTGGGCTCAGTAGAGAGCTCTCCTTTTTGTTTTGTTTTGAACCTCGTGTCTGGAGGTGGCTGTCGAGTCTGTAGGCTCTAACTGTCCTCAGGACATAGCGTCGGGGAAGCTGGTAGAGACACGGTGTGACGAGGGTTCTGGCAGGTGACAGAAACTCAAATAACTGGTGAGAATGAGAGAGAAGCATGTTTCCTGCTACAGACGTCTTGGTGGAGAGTTTTGTCTGGAATTGTTGTTTCTCTATGTGGCTCTGCTCAGTCAGGACCGCACTGCCATGGCCTCTGTGGCTGTGCATCCCTCCTGCCCCTCTACCATGGCCTCCAGTGTCATGGTCTCCACTCCTATGGTTCCATCACGTAAAACAGCATCCATGTTCTTTCTATGGGGGAAGGGAGAAAGAGCTAAAGGAGAAGCCAAGTGTGTGCAGGTCATCTCTAAATTCCAGCTCCAGCAAGTGACTCTTCTGTTTGTATTTCTTTGACTGGAATTGATTCATATGGCACACACACACACACACACACACACACACACACACACACACACACACGGAGATGGCTCTTTGGGAAAAGGGTAACATTGGGAGATGAGTTAGTCTCTGTACTCATGGAGTAGGCAGAAGTAGAGTCAAGGTATTCCTCACTTAGGCTGTGATGGTGATGTTTATTACAGAGAAGACACAAAGAAAAACAGTATTGCAGAGAGGATGAACGCAGCTTTGGGCCCAGTTTGCGGCATGTGCATGGCCTAGCAGAAATACCAAAGGACAAGAGGATATATAGATCTTCCATCCAGGAGCTTCATCGGGGTTAGAGATAGGGATCAAGTGTACTGGCAATCCTTCAAGCTACTTGCATGAGTGACCTTCCTTGAGGAATTCTAGAAGGGCAGAAGGGGGCCACAGAAAGCTGCCTCTGTTGCTCTGGTTTGTGTCACTACAGAATACCTGGTTCTAGGTGGTTTATGGAGAAAACATTTGCTTACCTCATAGTTTGAAGGCTGACATGATAAGATTAGGCATCCCTGTCTGTTCAGCCTCCGGTAAAGGCCACCCCACTGCATCACACCATGATGGATGAAAGGTAAAGGAAATGGCCACAGGAAGAGAGGAGCAGGTGCAGGCTCATTTAGGGACAGCTGGCTCTAGTCTCTGTGAGACCAGCATTAACCCTTCTGAAGCGGGCAAGCCTCAGGACTTACCCACTTTCTACCAGGCCCTGACCTACAAAGTTTCCACACCTCAACTTGGCCATAATGGAGTCCAAGCTTCCGCCCCATGAATCCTTGGAGGATGTGTCCAGTCACATTCAACTGACAGCTATTGTGGGGTGGTGAGCGAGAGAAGAGAAAGCGACAAACTCAGGAAAGAGCCTGGGAGAGCTCAGAGGAGCCAAGGGAACACCTAGGGACTGGAATCACAGGCTTACCAGATCTCTCTGTGAGGAATGGATGCAGACATCTGATCCTCTGTTGGTTTTCCGTATAAGGTTAGATGCTGTTTTGCTTGGCGGTGGACTCTGATACTGCTTTCTACAAGGAAGTTAATTGACGTATAGAAGAATTTTAATCATATATGCTTGGATGAACAGATTTTTCTCTCTAAGAAATGAGTAACTAAACTCTCTAGTCTTAAATTTTTACAGCATCATATAAAAACCTAATGAAGTAAAATAACAGTTAAACAGATTCATAGCTGGTTTAGTTCTGGTACCATAGCTAAATGACTAAATTATTATCTCTTTCCCAAGGCAAACTACTTTATATTTATTTGCTTTTTATAGGTATTAAAAATTTAAAACCCCAAATTCCTAATATTTATTTACATTTTGTGTACAAATGAAGTGTATAATATAAACAATAGCATCCAGGTGCCCATCATGTAGCAAATAAAAACCATAAATTGTGGCATATTTTTTTAGTAATATAAAAATGCATTTTAAGTTAAACTTAGAGGTGATAAAAAGTCAAGTATTTTTTTTTTTTAATTTGAAAAGAAGGAAGTGGAGAGTTCTTCTCTCAGCCACAAAACTCCATATTTATAGTTAGAGAAAAAAATTCCACTCTCTTTCTCTGATGGAAAATGAAGCTGGCTTCAAGTCTTCAGCATCAAAAGACTCTTGATTGCTTCTGAATATGTTTCTTTCTATGATTCAATTTAGTAAACACAGACCAAGCCCTGGCCCAGCACCAGGCTGTGTGCTAAGTACCAGGCAGCTGAAGAGCCGTAGATGGGAGCCCCTCTGCACAGAGAGGTGAGGGAGGAGACCCAAGCAAGCCGCTGTGGCACTGGGATGGAGCTGGTGGGCAGAGCCCGGCTAGGAGGACTGGGGGCTGGTGGAGAGGCTCTCAGTTCTGCTGGGGATGGCAGATTTGGAAAGCTGCAGGAGGTGAGACCACAGTGCGACCCCTGCGGTACCCATCGCTTTGTGTAGTCACTGTGTTTCTGGCATCCAGTGCAGAAGCAGAGGGGCACAGTAACGATTCAAAAACCACCTCTAGTGTGAATGAGTAGTTCATGTCTGAAGGATCAGTAGGAAGGTGATGAGAAAATGATCTACACTCTAGTTAACCCTTCCTTCCTTCCTTCCTTCCTTCCTTCCTTCCTTCCTTCCTTCCTTCCTTCCTTCCTTCCTTTCTTCCTTCCTTCCTTCCTTCCTTCTGATCTTTTTGGGCCATTCAGAATAGAGCATTGTTTTCTATGTTTTAAGCATTCTCCTCTCTGCTCTTGAACAGGATATTGACAGCTCAGATCAAGACAGATGGTGTGAATACATCATGTACCGTGGCTTGATCAGGTGAGCAAGGGCGTTTTTTTTTTTGTTGTTGTTGTTTGTTTGTTTGTTTTTTCCAATGCAAGCACATAGGGGTTTATTAATAACAAAGGAAGCCTGGACTTGGTCCGTTCCAAACACTCGACACAGCGGGTGGAGGAGGACGGCGCCAAGCACTCACTTGAAGGGGTTTATGTAGGAAAGGTTTAGATGCAGAAAGTTACATTTTTTTCCTGAGTTCCTTCTTTTTTTTCTCTCTTTTTTCATTTATTTATTTCTATTATCAGCTTGGTACAGTATAATTTCTTATCCTAATAGTGAAATGTTTCATTGAGGCTTGGCCAGTAATTGAGTAAAACCAAAAGTTATTATAAGCCACAGTCATCCTAGGGTCCACCCTGCTATATAGCCTCCCTGGTTCTGTGGGTTACAGTCTGATTGTTCTTTGCTTTATATCTAGTATCCACTTATGAGTGAGTACCTACCATGTTCCTTCTGGGTTTGGGTTACCTCACTCAGGGTGATATTTTCTAGTTCCATCCATTTGCCTGCAAATTTCATGCTGTCATTGTTTTTCTCTGCTGAGTAGTATTCCATTGTGTATATGTACCACATTTTCTTAATCCATTCTTCAGTTGACAGGCATCTAGGTTGTTTCCAGGTTCTGGCTATTATGAATAGTGCTGCTATGAACATAGTTGAGCATGTATCTTTGTGGTATGGTTGAGCATTCCTTGGGTAAATGCCCAAGAGTGTTATGGCTGGATCTTGAGGTAGATCGATTCCCAGTTTTCTGAGAAACCGCCATACTGATTTCCACAGTGGTTGTACAAGCTTGCATTCCCACCAACAGTGGAGGGTGTTCCCTTTGCTCCGAATCCTCTCCAACATAGACTGTCATTAGTGTTTTTGACCATAGCCATTCTGACAGGTGTAAGGTGGTATCTCAGAGTCGTTTTGATTTGCATTTCTCTGATGACTAAGGATATTGAGCATTTCTTTAAATGTCTTTCAGCCATTTGTGACTCTTCTTTTGAGAATTCTCTGTTTAGCTCTTTAGCCCAATTTTTAATTGGATTGTTCAGTATTTTGATGTCTAGTTTCTTGAGTTCTTTATATACTTTGGAGATCAGTCCTCTGTCAGATGTGGGGTTGGTGATGGTCTTTTCCCATTCTGTAGGCTGTTTTTTTTTCTTTTTTCTTTTTTCTTTTTGTCTTATTGACCATGTCTTTTGCCCTGCAAAAGCTCAGTTTTAAGAGGTCCCATTTATTAATTGTTGTTCTCAGTGTCTGTGCTGCTGGTGTTATATTTAGGAAGTGATCTCCTGTGCTAATGTGTTCAAAAGTACTTCCTACTTTCTCTTCTATTAAGTTTAGTGTAACTGGATTTATGTTGAGGTCTTTGATCCACTTGGACTTGAGTTTTGTGTATGGTGACAGATATGGATCTATTTGTAATCTTTTATTGACATCCAGTTATGCCAGCACCATTTGTTGAAGATGCTTTCTTTTGTCCATTGTATAGTTTTGGCTTCTTTGTCAAAAATCAGGTGTTCATATGTGCATGGATTAATGTCAGGGTCTTCAATTAGATTCCATTGGTCTGTATGTCGGTTTTTATGCCAGTACCAAGCTTTTTTTTTATTACTATAGCTCTATTGTAGAGCTTGAGGTCAGGGATGGTGATGCCTCTAGAGGTTGCTTTATTATACAGGATTCTTTTAGCTATCCTGGGTCTTTTGTTTTTCCATATGAAGTTGAGTATTTTTCTTTCCAAGTCTGTGAAGAATTGTGTTGGGATTTTGATGGAGATTGCATTGAATCTGTAGATTGCTTTTGATAAGAATGCCATTTTTACTATGTTAGTCCTGCCTATCCATGAGCATGGGAGATCCTTCCATTTTCTGATATCTTCTTCAATTTCTTTCTTCAGAGACTTAAAGTTCTTATCAAACAGGCCCTCCACTTGTTTAGTTAGTGTTATCCCAAGGTATTTTATATTATTTGTGGCTATTGTAAAGGGTGATGTTTCTCTGACTTCTTTCTCATCCCTTTTATTTTGTTTTGTTTTTTAAATCTATGAGTTCTAGAAGGCAAAGTGTCATGGAAGCAATTAATTTTTGCTGTTCTTTATAAGTGTTGGTTTTGTTGATTGTATTATTTAACAGTTTTGACATTTAATGGTTTGAGAAGGCAGAAATTAGCTGGTAGTGGCTCATGCCTTTAATCCCAGCACTCAGGAAGCAGAGGCAGGCAGATCTCTGAGTTCGAGGCCAGCCTGGTTTACAAAGTGAGTCCCGGGACAGTCAGGGCTGTTACACAGAGAGACCCTATGATAGTAATATCATTAAGACATTGTAAACTATTAAACACAGCAGTACATAATTAATGCACAGTAAGAATGGTGCCATTGGAGGATGACCCTTGCAGATACAGGACCAGAGAGTGCAGAGGCCCTAACACAGGGGTGTTTAGTTTGAAGGGAGGTAACACTAGCGAAGCTGCAGGATGTGTTGGAGTTGGAAAGTGGGGGGATGAGGTAGTGGGTGAATATTTTCACAGTGAGGAGGGGAGCCGATCTTGTAAAGTTCCATGGACCCTTATTAAGGAATTTTAATATAAGCATAATGGCGACCTTATTGACCCTTGGACCACTCACCTGGATGGCTCACATACTTACTGAAGGAAGGCCAGAAAACTGTCTAGGGGGTATAAAGGTCATCCTGGTTAGAGTGCTACTTCAGAGACTCTCCAGCCATTGCCCAGATAGCTGCCGGAGGGCTAGCCCGACTACTGTTTCAATGTTTCCAAAGAGCTGTGGTAGAAGAACATGCTGTTTCATAAAGCATTTCATGGCTAAGATTGACAACACTGTTTCTATTTCATTCTTCAGTCAAGTATTTATCATAGGATATCAGAATTCTAGAAAACAAGCTTTGATGTGGACTGAAATAGGTATAACAGTTCGCGTGCATGTACGTGTGAGCGTACGTGTGTGCATATGTGTGTGTGTGTGTGTGTGTGTGTGTGTGTGTGTGTGTACTCAGGTTGCCCAGCAAAATGCCATAGAATGAGTGGGTCGATTAGATAAAAGCCATTTTTATTCTAAAAGGTCTAGAACTTGTACAGCCAAGGCAGCAGGGCTGGTGTTTGGGAAGGGCTCTCCCTTTGGGTGGTACATGGCTGCCTTCTTATCCTGGGCTCATGAGGCCTTTCCTTGGCACTCAATCAAAACTGTTGTCTCTCAATCACCCAGTTCACTGCCCTGCACATAGTAAGCATTAAGAATAACTGCACTACGATGGGAGCCTCCCTGCCTCAGGGAGTTAGTCATATAGTCACATTCCTTGTCTTCAAGGACTTCAGGAATATCTTTGAAGGTCATGTCTATGAAACAGGTTAGAACTTCAGTCTTAGAGATTTGGGGAGTAAATAGCCCGGATTTATCAGAGACAGTGCTTTAGAGTTACCGGGAGCTACAGTTCTGAGCTTAGCGCAAAGCCTTGACCTCTGTGACAGCTCAGATCCCCCATCTGACGGGGCTGCAGCTCCTGCCCCTCTCTTCGTCACGGGAAGGCAGGCTGCCTCCACCCGCCCCGGTTCTCTGGTTCTGTTTCTCTTTCATAGGTTGTCAATGTCAGCTTGAAGCCTTCCTTCTCCCGTCCCACTCTGGCTGCAGTCCTTCTTTTACCTTTCCACTTGTCTCCCTGTAAGACGACGTGCAAACGGTCTTATTAATAAAAAACCCAGAGCCAGACATTGGGGTGAAAACTGAGAGATCAGAGGAGCAGGACAAGGCACAGCCAGCCTCACCTCACCAACTCCTCAGCCTTCAGAGAGAGAGAGAGAGAGAGAGCTACTTCCCGTATACTCACGCCTATATACCTCTCTGTGCCCTGCCCTCTTACTCCCTCTCTCCGCCCAGCTACATCACTTCCTCTCTCTGCCCAGCTCTATCACTTCCTGTCTGCCTGTCCAGACCTCCAGACCTCTATGGTTAACTAGCACTGGGATTAAAGACATGTGCCACCATGCCTGGCTCTGTTCCCAGTGTGGCCTTGAACTCACAGAGATCCAGAAGAATCTTTGCCTCCCAAATGCTAGGATTAAAGGCGTATGCTACCACTGCCTGACCTCTATGTTTAGTATGGTGCCTGGCTTTTTCCTCTGATCCCCAGATAAGCTTTATTGGAGCGCACAGATAAAAATCACCACACTCTCCACTTCAACCTTCCCATGGCGTGTCCTCTCCACAGCAGCCACCACAGAGCTCTGCCCCAGCCTGTCTGCTGGATTACCACTTCTCTCCCTCTTGGATAGGAATCAGAGTCCTCACGGGTGTGTGCAAGGGAGGGTTTTTTGTCATCTGCTTCCCCTCTCTCCCAAGCTCGTCGCCTCTCACGTTTTTCTCTTAGTCCTGGTGCGGTTGACTGCCCCAGACACCACACACATTTCTGCCTCCAGCCCTTGGCCTTTCTTACCCCTTCCCCCACAGGACCCCCACTCCACTGTTTGCCTAGCTTGCCGCTTAGCATTCAGGGTCTCGTTCCAATGTTACTTTGCATCGAGGGGCTTCCTGAGCATGCTCGGTGAGGCAGCAATCTCTGCCCACCAGCCCTCCTCCTCCTCTGTACTTTCCCATGGTACTTATCTGTCACCACTCGGTAGATTTTATACATACGCAGGTGTTTAATGTGTCCTTCAGCTCGAACAAACTGGTCAGTGAGAGCTAGAGCTTCCTTTTACTTCTTGCTCGCCACCCCAAAACCTGAAATGCTGCTATGTAACTTCACTTCATCAAATCCGCAAGCGAGTGAAAATGACGCAAATATTCTTTTTGGAAGAGGCAACATCTAAATGGATGAAAACAAACTCTTTGCTGCTGCCGTTTCTCTGTTTTCCCGTCTGAGAACTTCACTACAAACTGTTTGGATAATGTCTATAAAGTGTTTTGACTTTTCCAGGGAGCCGAAAGCTCTAAGCCAAACAGGATGTGGAAAAAATTTTTCAGACATATAAAATCCTTGATTTTTAGACTAGTAAATGTGCCTAGAAATATGCATGTGATATTTGGATTTTGAAAGGTAAGAAAGTTTAAGCATGTATTCCTGTCAGTCTGAAGAAATCCTATTATTAACTTAAAACATAATTATATGGGAAGCACTTTGTGTACAAACTAAAGCAAGGTTGCTAAGTGGAGTTAACTAAAACTATGTACATATTCCTTATTCGTTTACCATGTTATGAAAACAATATTTCTGTTAACATTTAGGGTAATAAATCAAGTTAATTCTAATCATGAGACACAAAGCCAAGTTAGAAATAGGGAATCAGCCGGGCGGTGGTGGCGCACGCCTTTAATCCCAGCACTCTGGAAGCAGACCCCAGGTGGATCTCTGTGAGTTCTAGGCCAGTCTGGGCTACAGAGTGAGTTCCAGGAAGGGTACAAAGCTACACAGAGAAACCCTGTCTCGAAAAACCTAAAAAAAAAAAAAAAAGAAAGAAAGAAAGAAAGAAAGAAAGAAAGAAAGAAAGAAAAGAAAAAGTTAAGGGGAACCAGCTTAGTACAGAAGGTGCCAGCCATTAGAGCTCACTAATTTTGGTTGGGCTTTGCTGTACTCATCAGAGGATTTTTTTTTTCCCTTCAAGACAGGATTTCAGGATTTCTGTATATAGTCCTGGCTGTCCTGGAACTTCATCTGTAGACCAGGCTGGCCTAGAACTCACAGAGATTCGCCTACCTCTGCTTCCTGAGTACTGGGGTTAAAGGTGTGCACCACCACCGCACTGTGAAGAACTAATGTGTTTTTTGTTGTTTTGTTTTTCAAGAGAGGATTTCTCTGTATAGCCCTGGTTGTCCTGGAACTCTTTGTAGACCAGGCTGGCCTTGAACTCAGAGATCCAACTGCCTCTGCCCTCCAAGTACTAGGACTAAAGACATGTGACAGTACTTCCTGGCTTCATCAGAGTATTTTTATAATGAGACATTTTACAAACCGTTTCTATTTCTGCTCCAGGTTGGGTTATGCAAGAATTTCTCATGCCGAACTGAGTGACTCTGAGATTCAGATGGCCAAGTTCAGGATCCCCGATGATCCTGCCAATTACAGAGACAACCAGAGAGTAGTCATAGAACACAGAGGACTCCCCAAGAACGTTCATTTCAACCCCAGGTGAGTGAGCGCCTCTCTGCCTGCTGTAGATGGCAGATACAAGCTGCCACATGCCCCTACGGAGTCCAGATATCAACTCCTATGAGCTCAAAATCGTGGTAGATTCTAGAGGCTCATTTCAAGTGACGGAAGTCATGGTGAAGATTCTAACTCATGGGTTTGTTATAATCTTTGCTTTCTGGAATGAAGAAACATGTGATAGCCCCAGCCTCAGGGAAAATGCCACATTCTTGTCATGATTACCACTACCACCACTACCATCATCATTGTCCCCATCACCACCACTGCTACCATCATCACTCTCACCATCATCATCATCATCATCAAGGTCATCATCATCGCCATTAACGTGACCATGACAGTGAATATTCCAGGGTTCCCATATTCCAGCTCTGTCCCAGATTCTTTACATGTTATCTCGATTTAAGTCATTGGGTTATTAACTGCTGTTACCAACATTTTATTGAGGAGGAAGTTCAGGCTGAGGAACACGGCTGCATTGGGCTTAAATGACAGAGCTGTTGAGGAGGAAGGCAGCCCATTAGCACTGCAGGGTTGCTGGGATTCTCCCCAGCTGCACCTTCCCTTCAGCCTGAGAGCATTTGAAAACTGCACTGTTTGGTCTTGGCCCAGATCAACTCATTAGGACTCCCTGTGATGATGCTTGGTTTGGGGACTTAAACAGTTCTTTGCAGGTTATTCTAATGGGCAATTCACGCTGAGACTGTGAAGTGTGGGCAATTCCCTTACATTGCAGGTATTCTACCGTGAAAGAGATATTGAATTTCATTTTGCTTGGTTTTTAATAGAGGTTGTCTAAGAGATCTGTTTGTAGCCAAGCATGTGATTTGAAGCTTGTGCTCTAATCTTTGCAACAGTGGATGGCGAGATAGCACTTCCAGGCCAACCCGGACACTGAGCATGCCCTAGACAGACATTGTATCACTCGACGTTTCTACTTCACTAGCTCACAGCTGCAACAACTCTCAGACTTTGTCAGGGACGAGACCACACTTCATTTGATTTGTTTACTTCCTGAGAGAGGACTGTACCAGAGTGCAGGGATTAATACAAGGAGAGGGAAACCCAGCCTGGCTTTGTTACAGTGTTTCTCTCTTGCTGTGTGTGTAAGAGGAAAGTGATGGTGACGTCAGCCTCGGGATTCTTGCCATAGAAAATACCCAACTGCATATCATTAGCCTAGGACAAATTTCAACTTCAAAGTGTAATGCAGAGATGGCTCAGAGGTTAAGAGTGTCACGTTCAGAACAGGAATATTAGGGTATCTAGTGTTGTGATGAAACACACGACCAAAAGCAACTTGAGGAGGAAAGGGTTTGTAGCCAGAAGTTTCTCTGGTTCTGCCTGGCCCCCTGGTCCAGATGAATCTCTCCCACCCGTGATCCTGTAGCCACTTATAAAATAGTTACTCAGAGGCTTAATATTAATTACAAACTGTTTGGTCTATGGCTCAGGCTTTTTGCTAGCTAGCTCTTATAACTTAACTCAACCCATTCCTATTAATCTATGTTTTGCTGCGTGGCCCATGGCCGTGCTGTTACCGGTCTGCTGACATCTTGTTGCTCCTTGGGTGGCAGGCTTGCTTCTCTCTCATCCCGCCTTTCTCTTTCCTGTCTCTCTCTCTGGATTTCCTGCCTGCCTCTAAGCTGCCTTGCCATAGGCCGAAGCAGCTTATTTATTAAGCAAATGGGAACAACATGTATTCACAGCCTATGGAAAGACATCCCCCAGCAAGTGTTTATGTGGCTTATGCTTCCACAACACAGTTCATCATCAAAGGAAGTCCGAGTAGGAACTCAAGCTGGGCAAGAACCTGGAGGCAGGAGCTGATGGAGAGGCTGTGGAGGAGTGCTGCTTACGGGCTTGCTTCCCATGGCTTGTTCAGCCTGCTTTCTAATAGATCCCACGGCCACCAGCTCAGGGACAGCCCTCACCACAATGAACTGGACCCTCCTACTTGAATCACTAATTAAGAAAATGTCCTACAGGGTTGCTTGCAGCCCAATCTTATGGAGGCATTTTCTCAAGTGAGGCTCCCATCTCCCCAGTGACTCTAGTCCGTATCAAGTTGACATAAAAATAGTTAGCACAGGGGGCCATTTTTTTTCTTTGTTGAATTTGTCAATTTGTCAAAGATGACTTCTTAACTGGAAAATAAAAATTTTAGGCAGAGAAGATTTTCTTGTTTTTTTTTTATTATTATTATTATTCATATACCAGGAATGTGGCAAGAGCTCAATAAACTATTTTTGGCAAACCACAACTGCAGATTGAGCCAAGACAGCTGTGGCTGAGTGAGGACTATTTTCTTGCTCAGTTACAAAAATAATGAAGGTGTTGGGGGAGGCTTGCCTTCATGACAAAATCCTGCTCAGGACACTTAAGATATATTCTCTCAGTAGACTCAAATATTCGCTGCATTCTTATTCACTCTGGTCACAATGCCTTTGAGTAGCAGAGCTGAAATCACATCCTTTGACCCGTGTCTTCTCCTAGTCAGCCCCAGGCAACCACTGTCACTTTGCTAGCTGCTTCTGTAAGTGTAACTTTTAAAAAGTTCTGCATGTAACCCCTCCAAACAAAACCAACACACAACAAACAAAAACAAGCGAGGCAGTGATAGCATAGGCCTTTAATCCCAGCATCTCTCTAAATTCGGCTGCAAGCCACAGGAAAATGTAATGGAAGTCAGCTACTATCACAAAAGCTACGACTTGGAAAAGTCAAGGACTTTTTCAAAGGTCAAGCCATGGCTTAAGAAGTCTTGGTGATATTTTAGCTTTTGTATATATATAATTAGCTGGTTCCTACAATGATTTTCTTGTATGCTATGGTTCTAAGAACTTCTAACAGTGCATTTATCTAAAATATCTATCAAGCATTCAAGGCCAAATGATCTCCTGAACTAAGGTAATACCCTTATGGAAACAACGCCTGTCTCTTGGGTCAGGTGGATAGCTTTATTTCTTGTGCAATTTTAACTGAGACCCTCCTTTCTTTTTTTTTTTTTTTTTTGGATTTTTCGAGACAGGGTTTCTCTGTGTAGCTTTGCGCCTTTCCTGGAACTCACTTGGTAGTCCAGGCTGGCCTCGAACTCATAGAGATCCTCCTGGCTCTGCCTCCCGAGTGCTGGGATTAAAGGCGTGCGCCACCACCGCCCGGCTGAGACCCTCCTTTCTTATATAGCTCTACTAACATTATAGACTCCTAACTTCTTACCTAACCACTTCTAGAAATGTAGATTTGAAAGGATGATAAACCACGCTGGTGGTGGTGCTGGTTACCTCACGGAAAGGTTGTGGTCATGTCAGAACCCAGTGTTAGTTTTCAGAGCTTTATTAGAAGGGAAAGGGGTGAGAGGAAAGAGAAGAGCCTGCAGAGAGAGAAGGATGGTTGGTGGGGAAAGCAGAGCAGAGCAGAGAGAGAGGGTGGGGTCTGTGTCCGGCTTTTTTTTTTGTTTTTGTTTTTTTTGTTTTGGTTTTTCGAGACAGGGTTTCTCTGTGTAGCTTTACGCCTGTCCTGGAACTCACTCTGTAGCCCAGGCTGGCCTCGAACTCACAGAGATCTGCCTGCCTCTGCCTCCCGAGTGCTGGGATTAAAGGCATGCGCCACCACTGCCCGGCATCTGTGTCTGCCTTTTAAGGTGTGTACATAGTTGCCAGTGCACACTGATGATGTAAGACACAAGATCCTGAACTGCTGCATGTGCAGAAGTGAGGGTGGGATCCTAACAAGATTGAGCACATAAATTCCCTCTTTGATATACTAACCGGTCATTAGTTCTCAATTGGCCTCCTTTTTTACCACTCCCCTTTTGGTTGTAAAAGAAAGCCTGGCAGTGGTGGCACACGCCTTTAATCCCAGCACACAGGAAGCAGAGGCAGGTGGATCTCTGTGAGTTCGAGGCCAGCCTGGGCTACAGAGTGAGAGATAGAATAGCCAGGGCTACACAGAGAAACCTTGTCTTGAAAAACCAAAATAAGAAAAAGAAAGAAAGAAATCCTGATGGTCACTGCCTGAGGAAAACTCTCACCTGCCTTTATGACCCTGTAGGAATTCAAGCCTGGGGACCTGGCTGGAGGGGGGAGGATTGCTATTGCTTGGGTTTATAGCTGGATTCCTGAGAGACTTTGGAGAACAGAGAGGGATAAGGAGGATTTTGACCAGAGAGAATTGGAGGATGAGATGGAAGGTGAGGAAGAGCCAGATGGGGAAGGACTAGTTGGGTAAGAACAAGATGAGAAGAACCTAGATGAGGCAGAATTAAGATGAGAGAATTAAGATAGAACTTAGAGGGGACAGCAGATAAATGTAGAGAGAAATCAGGCAAGAAAGGAGCTAGGCATGAGAACGGAACTGAAGCTATGTAGATAGGATTTTATCCCAGAAAAATAAAGTAAACGGATAATAGAGCTCAGCATACTTAGATTGTTTTCTGGAAAATAATTCTCACTGTTTGTAGTTTCTCTTCTGGGCTCCTGGGAAAAAAATATTATTAAAGCTGGTCTTTAATAATATTTGAGAAAATTTGAGGCCAGCCTGGTCTACAGAGCAAGTTCCAGGACAGTCATGGCCACACAAAGAAACCCTCTCTTGAAAAACCAAAACAAAACCAAAACACCAAAAGTTCTACATGTAAGTGAGAACACTCACTTTTTTTGGGGGGGGAGGGCAGTTTTGAGATAGGGTTTCTCTGTGTAGCTTTGTGCCTTTCCTGGAAGTTACTCTGTAGCCCAGGCTGGCTTCAAACTCACAGAGATCCACCTGCCTCTGCCTCCCACATGCTGGGATTAAAGGCATGCGCCACCACTGCCCGGCATTAGTACACTCTCCCTTATGCTTGCACTCAATATCCCAACCCCTTTTTCCAGAGGATGAAACAGGGATTGGCACAACCCAGACAAGCGCTTGGCCACACCTCAAGTCCTTGTTTTGTGTTTTTAATTTGTCTTTGAAGCAGGGTCTCACTATGGAGCTCA